CAGAAACTCAGGGATTGACTTCTTACCAGGGTATAATCTCGCTGGCTTAGAATACGTGATGTAATCCTCCTAGGTGAATACAGTCTTCTGAACACCTTGAGCAGAAACCTTCCAATATTTAATGCGATCCGCTCCCACTGTCAAATGTAAGATTATGCTACAGGACTGGAATATATGACTGATTCATCATGAAAAACAAACTTCTGTAAAAGGAGTTGGTAAATGCTACCAATGAGTTTGTTCAATATAGAATTTATCAAGAATGGAAAGTAATTAGCGAATCACTGGGCACTAGAAAGATGTCAGTCATTGAATTCCGACTGAATGATACAATCGTAGCTTGCCTATCTGAAAATCCAGCAGACCTTGGCACACACAGCTCACAGACTACAATGTAAAAGTTAACTTGGTACCTAACTGTGCTCCACCTAAAGCTAATTCATGACAAATTCTAACATGAATAGTAGGAAGTTGTGGACTAGATTATCAGTTGAAGATTGAAACGGTTAGAACACGTGTTACGCGTGTCAAGCCATGGCATTCCTTGTCCAGAAATGACAGTTGATATAAAATAAAGGTGGATAAGAGTTAGCGGGGATCACATCAAAAGATGGCCTTAATTCATGATTTTTTTGACTGGTGATCTGAGTCAGCCACATAGGTAAGTGTAGACTGTCTGTTTTGGGTATTCGAGATGCTGAAAACTAATAACTGAAGATTGTTGGTAACATGGCTCAAAGTTCTTCTCAATGGCACCGATGCATTCACTTATTGTAATCATTACAAAATTATTTAAAACAATCTCAGGGTGTTTAGAAAATAAAAACAAGACTTTTCTGATCGTTTCTTCTTTAGGAGAATTATTCGGATCTTATTAAACATCAAAATATATGCTCAAACAGCACATAAATCAAAGCGAACTTTTGTAAAGGTCACTTGTAGGCGAACATTTGTGATTTCGCCGCGACCACTAACCACTGTCATCGGCGAGTAATTGTCCTCACTCCCACTGGTCATGACTACTCACTAGAACTCCAGGCAACTTCGTCCTGGAGCCGGTCACTAGCGAGCATCAGATTAATTTTCAAGAGCCATTTTTTAGGGATTGAGACGGGTTTCAAGTCTGATCACAGATGGGTATCAGTTAGAGAACCACTGAAAGTCAGCAAGGAGTACTGAACAGACATGGCGTCATAGTATGGGACTGACTGGCTGTAATCAACCACTACTGGAGTTCAAACCCAGGACCTTCCGGTTACAAGGCAAGCTCGTAGACCAATCGACCACTGGGACCTGATATATGTGAACAGTAATCATATATTTGTATCGATATTGTCAACTTGTCTAAGTTAAATTGCTACAATATGTGTATATCTGTATGCAGATGTATGCACGTGTTGTTTACTGCATGGAGAACATGTTAAGTGATAAGTACGACTATTGTTTAAAAGCGGATATATATAATGACGAATAGTCTGTCTTTATATGTTTTATTTAATTAGGCTGCAAGATAGGTGATAATAAGTTAGAAAAATCTTATTGTGACTATACAGTGATTCAATCTGACTCGGATTACTTAATCCCGAAAAATTCACAACATTCATGGTCTGAATATTCATGCTCTTTGTAGTCTCTCAGATTCATTAAATCCCCATTAATTACTATGTAATTATTCTTTGCCCAGGAAATCTCTGTTTATTATAGATTTTTTGCAATTCTCTTTTTCTAATTTTGTGTGACAACTTCAACTAATGCCCTTTTATGTAAAGTCTTCATCTGTAAATTCAGTTCAGTTTAGTTCGCTATATCTGAGTTTGAAGAGTAATTATCATTCATTTTTTAGGAGGTGGACATACACTTGGTTACTGACTGGCTGAGTTTCAAGGATTTTGGAAGATAGCACCAACAGTCTCCAAGCATCAGTTCTTAGCATCCCGACGACTCAATCCAGATAGTCTACGCCTCTCTACTTGGCTCAAAACAACTGTCGAAAACTTCATAGACTGATGGCAGGTTATGGTTTGATCACACCTAACTTTTTTCTAACCTAAGAGTATGTCAGCTAATACTGCTCAACGACAAAGGCGCAACACGTGTCCTAGTTGCACAACCTCATCGACTAACTTCCCTTCCTTACAGTCTAGCACTCTATACCTAACCTCATTATTACACACCATATTATACCACTTAACACGGGAGACAGGACGCAAACATCTGTCGCCAAAGTCTGCTAGCCTTTTCATATCCTCTAATTTCAATAGACATGTCTCAAAGTAATATACAAGGAGAGATGACGTAAGATGCCGAATATCATATGAGCCTTTTCTATCTGTGCTGAAACTTCATTACTAATCAGTACATTCGCGTTCAGGCAACTTCTCAAATAAGTGAAATGGTCAACACGCCCAATCAATTCATTCCCTAACTTTAGGCTACGAGGTGAATCGCATGTCAAGTATTGATTACTACAGTTACTTTCATTATTATTATTATTATTATTATTACCATTTGTTTATTTTTAAATCATGGTGTATTAACTACTTTAAAACACTAAATAGAAGAAATTATGATTTCTCTTCTAAAGCGTTTGATGACGACTTCAGGAAACATGCAAATTACAAGCTAATCAATTAAATCGTCAGATAATAGTTTCTCTTTTCAATCATACAAATTTTAACTTGATAAAATTACATTCCATTGTTAAAGAATATGAAAAGTTGCAAGTAAGCATTTGTTGTAAGAAATATTCAAAGTCAGTCAGTCTGTATTCAAATCGTTTTTAACCCAAAAGGTCATTGAGTCAATAAGTAGCCAAAATGAACTGATTATATGCATTATATCCAAGTGGTTTCTTGTTTATTTTAATTAATCTAAAGGAAACTCTAGAAAGCATTGTTTCAACCACAGCCAGAGGAACGGATGAAGACGTTAAAGCCAGCCACAATCGGAAAGGCAAAATACACACACTTAAATCAACCTGAAATCAGCTTGTAATTCTTCTTCACTCAGAAGCATAAAGAATATGGTTAGGATATTCAACACAAAAGTTAAGTCAGTTGATTCTTCTATATGAGTCAGAAACTTGCATTGCGCGTCACGAAAACCATTTCCAACAGCCTATTGCACACTTTTATCAACAGCCACCTCCGTTCCATATTGAAGATCAAATGGCTAGCTGGCCAGAAAGAATTAGAAACAAGAAACTATGGCAGCAAACTAGCCAAGGACCTATCGCTTAACAGATACGTAGGAGAAAATGGAGGTAGATTAGGAACACGCTGAGGAGACCATCGAATGACGTCGCGCCATCACTAGGCCATTGCTTGAATGGAATCCGAATGGGATGTGACGACTAGGTCGTCCAAGGGTGACGTGGAGGAGATCGTGCGAGCAGGGGATGAGAGACTATGGACAGTCGTGGGTCCAACTAAAGAGGACAGCAGAAAATAGAACAAGGTGGAGATGTATTAGATGGTTGGAGGCAATCGGCCACAGGAAGCCCTGGACCTAAGTTTCGTGTTAGTTGGCACTCATCACCAAGGCGTATCTGCAACCTTGAAGGAACTCATGTCCCTTCTGAAATTCGAACCCGCGTCATCTCCAGTGCTGCAGTCAGAGACGTTACCGCTGAGCTATTCGGGCCCGCGATTGACCTCCTGTAGGACTGTAGTGGCTATTTTGATTTGACTAGCACGAAACGTAGGTCCAAGGCTTCCTGTGGCCGATTGCCTCCAACCATCTAATACCATCAAATCAATGTGCACCGTGATGGTGAGCCAGCTAGAATGGTGGTCACATTACAACCTGACTGATAGAATTCAGTCTACACCAATCAGAGGACTAGATACGCATCACACTAGTTACTAGTGTCAAATCAAAACGGTGGAGATGTGTTGTTGAAGCCCTACGTTTTACTCGGAACCCAAGGGATCAATAATACAATAATAATAATAAAGGAAACTAATTTCATCTTTCACTACAGTAATGGAGATGTGAGTAAATGGCTCAGGCACTGAACTTTCAATCTGAAGGTCACCAGTTCGAGTCTCCCACCACTTAATCCAACCATGGTTAACTAGGCATACTGTTATAAGCCTCAACGCAATAAATGTGCTTCATAATCTTAAAATGTGTTATGAGTAAATGAGTTCCAACTTAAACACACTACTGGGTGCTGCATGTTGATCTTTCTAAGATGAAATTACCAAAGATGAGCCTTTATCATGACTTCTGATAAGCATAACATTTATGATTTAGAAGTCCTTACCGATTATGTCTACTCATCTAACATCACAGTTAACAAGGCTTTGCAATAATGAGTCTACTCACATGGTGATCGTACCAAATACACAGACACACAATCAATCCCAACTGACAGCTTCTACCTTGACATGGTTGTGGCTCTTGTATATCACAATGATCCAAAGAGTTACAGTGACTGGTCCTACAATGCCAAAAAGCACTTAGAATAGCGACCAGACTAAAAGCAGTTACCATCATTTATACCATAAGTCAATTTGTAGTGCTAGCGAATAGGGACGTGACAGCAGTGAGGTGTTTCCTTCAAATGATCAACAAGCCAAAGTGTACTGCCTCTCCCCTCTGGAGATGAGTGATAAAAAATAAAGAATAAACGTCATCTCGACTTACAACTGCGATAAGATCATACAAACATAACTCCAAAAACCACTACAAACCGACCGTGTGTGTGACTGATCTCAAGCAGTTGTACATTGAACGCTGCAGTCAAGCAACCCTAATGCTCCAAAAAGAAATCAACTTTTATGGTGTAAGCGACCGGGAAGTAATAATCACCCATAAATTTCCATACGCAGACAAAACTTTCTTGATCAGACACATAATCGATAGAATCAACTCAGTGAGTGGTATACAAGAAATAGGAGGCATTAATACTGACTAGTTTTCAGTGTACATCGGATATTTTATGAAATAGCATTTGAAATAAATAAATTAGAAACATTATTCTATTAAATACTCACCTGATAATTTTCAAAGAAATTAGTCAGTAAAGTTGTTAAGCTGTCGACAAAATTTTTGAAAAAAAAAATAGAAAAAATAAACATTAGTGTTTTACAAGTGAAATTACTTAAGGAATACAGAAAAAAATATCATTCTGATATATCAATAGTTGTTTATATGGATCGCAATAGTACCTTAAAACTCCGAAATCATGTTTAAGTCATGTCAATTTCGGTTTCACGAAGAATTATTAGAATGTAGTACAGTAATTTCAGAAGTGTTTGGCTAACACAGAATTAACATTCTGATTTGTTATTTTTCTAGGACTCACACATAGCTGAGCATAACACCCATCTAACCCACTTCTGCTTTTAAAGAACTAATGTACGATGATTTTCAATTGGAATTACATCAAATACCGGTACTAATTGTTAAATCAGTATATGCTAAGAAGCATTGGGTAGTTAGTATATTCAGCCCCTATTACTTGAGAGATGGATTGGACACGCTCTCTGAGGAGGCCGCTGGGTGACACCGCGCGCGCATCAGGCCATTGCTCGAGTGGAACCCGAAATGGAAGCGGCAAGTGGGACGTCCAAGGGTGACATGGAGGAGATCGTTTGAAGAGGAGTTAAATCAGTATGGACTAAAATGGATGCAGGTGAAAAGTACAGCAGAAGACAGGAGCAAGTGGAGACGTGCAGTTGAAGCCCTATCTTCCACCAGGAACCCAAGGGAACAATAATAATAACTTGGGATCTGTTGACAACGACAACAACAGATTCCTGCAGGATCGAACCCGAAACTGTTGTCCTGTGACAGACATATTACGACTCAGTGAGACAATCTCGGAAAAAAAATGGCACTATAATTAGCTCCCAGGATAGACGACTGGATCGTTGGAAAGAGCATTATGAGGAGCAGTTTAATTGGCCCACAGCCACGCTCAACCTTCCGAGCATCCAACACCTCCCTGAATGGGATATAGACACAGGTCCTCCATCCCTAACTGAGGTTACTAAAGCTGTCACCAATCTGAAACTAGGCAAAGCAGCGGGACCTGATGGAATGACTCCAGAGGTATTTAAGTACGGTGGAGACAGCTTACTGTCCGGATTAACTGAGGTACTAGGCAGCGTCTGGGAATCAGAAGAAGTCCCATCGGGTTGGTGTAAGTCACTGATTATCCCCATATACAAGAAGGGAGACAAGTCTTCCTGTGATAATCACAGAGGGATTAGCTTGACTAATATAGTATCTAAAGTCTTAGGCTCAATAATCATGCGTAGACTGAGTGGTGCTCGGGAAGCACAAACACGAGAGAGCCAGGCAGGCTTTAGACCAGGAAGAGGGTGTATTGATCATATCTTCACCCTCCGACAGATTCTAGAACATAGGGATTCCTACCGGCGTCCAACAGTCATTATATTTCTTGACCTAAAGGCAGCATTCGACTCTGTCGATCGGGAAGTTCTCTGGAGATGCTTGGCTGTAAAGGGAATTCCAGAAAATATATTGCACTGATTAAGGCACTCTACTCGTACTCATACAGCCAGGTGAAGGCTTACGGCGAGCTGTCATCTGAACTGGTAAGGACCAGTGGTGTCCGTCAAGGATGCCCATTATCTCCTTTTCTATTCAACTTCATCATAGATGTGTTAATGGACTTAACCCTAGGTGACTTCAGCGACTCAGGGATTGACTTGCTATCAGGGAATAATCTCGTTGACTTAGAATATGCAGACGATATAGTACTTCTAGGCGAAGACGCTGACAAAATGCAGAGTCTTCTAAACACCTTGAGCCGCAATCTACGAATGTTTGGCATGCGATTCGCTCCCGCCAAATGCAAGATGATGTTACAGGACTGGACTACATCGACGCCTTGTTTAAAAATAGGAAGTGAAGTGGTAGAGCACGTTAACGGCTTCACTTATTTGGGAAGTACCATCAGCCAACGCCAACGGGCTGATCTCTGACGAAATCTCAGCACGAATACAGGGGGCTCGCTTCGCATTGGCCAGTTTACGCCAACTCTGGCTTAGTAGACGAGATGTTCGACTATCGACCAAAGAGCGGGTGTACTGCTCATCAGTCCGTTCCGTCCACCCTTACGGCTGGCTGTGAGACCTGGCCACTGAGAGTGGAAGACATGAAAAGACTAGCTGTCTTTGATCATAAGTGCCTCCGCTCTATTTCCCGTGTAAAGTGGCATAATAAGGTGAGCAACATTGAGGTTAGGCGTAGAGTTCTAGGTAAACAGGGGAAATCAATCGACGAAGTCGTGAAGCTACAAAGACTGAGATGGTTAGGACATGTGTTACGTATGCCAAGCCATCGCCTCCCTCGACGAGCAATGTTAGCGGATATAGGGTCAGACTGGAAAAAAGCTAGCGGCGGTCAAACAAAAACTTGGCACCAGTCAATGAAATCCACAACAGTTGGTCTAAGCCACGTAGGAAGGTGTAGACTTCCAGGCTGGGGTCCTCGGGACGGTAAAAATCTATGGTTGGAAACAATTGGTGACATGGCTCAAAATCGTTCTCAGTGGCCAGCGCAGATGCATCCACTCCCTGTGACTTATGATCTCCAATGAAACTGTTTTGTTTTTCTTTATTACTCCTTTGTCTCACACCTCTGCTCACTGTTTCTATTATGCTTTTCTTGTACTTTCTTCTCTTGCTTCGCGTGCTACACGGAGTGTGGCGACTTGAACTTCCGCACATTTGTGCAAAGTTCTATGTCGAAAACAGACAGACAGGCAGATATTACGACTCACACACACCTTACTACATAATGACTAAGTTTTCAACTTTCACCTTGTATAGGCTGATCCATCCATCAGACCATCATAAAATTAACAGCTGGAATTTAGTTTACTGAACATTATCTTAAGATGTGTTACGAAGGATAACTCATCGTAGGTAGCCGTGAAGTCATGACTAGTGTATGTACATGATGAGCTGATTGGACAGTTCTTAGATCATTTATTCTTGGAGGATCTTAAAGGTCATGCAGTCAATCAGATACTGATTTTATAGTTTAAATTTCCGTGGATGTGCTTATACCCTGTGTTTTGAATAATAAAAGATTGTTATCGCGGTTGTCGTTAGTGTAGCAGTTAAATCTACCTTTTGTGTTTATCTCAATGTGGAGGAATGTTTTCAAGTGACTAATTGACTATAGCATATCGTCTGGAGCCGCATTGTAGTCAAATTAAACGACAACCACAATTCTGATTTTGATCTTGTTATTAAATCGAATACATTCAGATAAGAATAGATATCAATATTACACGGATGACACATAAAACTAATATTCCAAATCAATCGCCTTTTAGGGTTGTTATATTCTCTGAGATTGACAGTCGAATGCAAGGCTCTCATTGTCTTTCTCTACACAACTAAAATCCACAGTCAGCTATTGGGACTCTTAATGGACGTCCTTTCTAGTGACGTTGACTGTGGTTGGCAGTCGATTGAGATTTTCTTGGGATTGTATTCATTAGGATTGACGTTGATTGATCAATTGATCTGATATTTGACCTTTTGATCATGTAACTTATTCTCATGAATTCCTATGGATGAATGTATATAATTCTAATTAGTGCCCTTACATGAAGGCGCGTCCGCAGTTGATTTAATCTATCTTATAAATAATGTCGGCTTAGCCTTCTTTCAGTTTTTTAGTATAAAGTAAACACATTGCATAAATTTTTGAGTGATATCTATCCCAAAAAGTTTTAATAGTCTGGTTTTCATATGTAGTAAGTCGATTTTTTTGTACTTCGACTGGATAATTTTGAGCTGACCAGTCAGGCTGATAGTAAGTGCATCGATATTCGCTTTTCTGGAAGATGATTATAAGACAGTCCTCTCCTATTTTCTTCAAGGTAGGAGTGCTGCAGTATGTCCTGACTCTTTCCAATAATTTCAGTCTTGACTACGAATTGATTTTAGTTAGAGAACTATTGTTAAACAGGGAGTACTGAACAGATGTTTCGTCCTCAGTCGGGAATTTCCACCAGTGAGCACCAATGATCCCACCGGGGATAGAACCCAAGACCTTCCAATTACAAGGAGAACTTTCTTCAGTAATGTTTGTATACAACTTATTTTGTGTGTTGTAAGGTTATTGCTTTTCTAATTGAGTATTCGATCTTTATGGGTGGGCTTTCTGTGCACTTTTGTTAACACGTTTCTAGTGTTTGTTCGCTTGAATGAAAAAACGAAGCAATCAATATCAGTGTAAATGAATACATTCTCAAGAAAATCTCTAGAGACTGCCAATCACAGTGGAGGTCGCAAGAAAGGGAGGATATTTTGTCCATAGAGAGTTTTGATAGCTTACTTCATCACATTGCGCCCAGTCCTGAAGAAGTTGTGTTGAAAGACAATCAAAGCTTCGCATAAATAAACCGTCCAGCTAGAAGAACCCATCAACACCAAATACATTTCTACATGGGTTGTAGATCATCTTCATCATTTCGCATAAAATTATATTAAACATAATTATTTATTTTTTTGATTTATTCGCTTGCGTTACCAGTAGAACATAGGGCTGTAGTATTAATTTTTACGGGGTGGGGTTGCCAGCTTCATGTCCCACCTTCCTTATTCACCGGTCTTATTACTGGCTTACGTCGGCCGGGACTGAACCACAGACCACATGCGTCGTCGGTACGCATTCTACCGTTAAGCCACCGACTGACATTTATCATACATAAAATAAATTCTAATATGAAGAAACAAGAACACACAAACAAATATAACAAAACTAACTCTGTTTCTGGAGTCACATTACACTCTTTCGGTATTAGATTAGACAAGGCTAATTCAATTCGTAACAGGGTGTTTGCATTTGTTTTACGACATTTTGAGGCTAAATCAGAGGCAATTGTCGCGTCTTTTACAGCAGAATGATAACCAGCTAGGATACATTTCTCTTCACGAAAGAATACATCATTATCCTTTTGATTATTTAACCAAATTGTTTCATCAGCTGACTTTGATACAGATTTGAAAAAATCAGCTGCCTAAAATTCAAGAGAAGAGAAAAAAAATGACAGATAAATTTCATTTATTTAAGTAGTAATACTTTCTTTCATTTGGATCCTTGTTGCACTATATTTGAGATACTATAAAAATAAAGCGATATTATGTCAAGCTGTGGCAAGAGAAGACAAGGGCCAGGCAACAGATCGTTTATGAAGGAAATCAACACGTATTTATATATTTTCATGTACATTATTATAGCTTATTCAAGCAAACAAACACAATCTTCTGGTTGGTTGTTTCTCACAGAAAGTTGACCTTGCATCCCTTTGTGACTGTTTCTTGAATCTCAGGTCATCTAAATGTTAACAGTATCCGCCTACGCAAAGTCTGTTGTGATTGGTTGTTGAATCAGTCTTGTTCATATTTTCTCACGACCAATATTTTTGACATACCCATTGACGTAAAATGCTGTCTACCATTTTTGGCTAGCCTGCTCTCACCACAAAGCCATCATGACAGTGAATACGGTCCTAGAGGTTGTAACCAGAAAGTCCTGAGTTCGACACGTGGTGGGGGTCATGGGTGAGTACTGCCGACGAATTCCAAACAAAAATGAAACAGTTGTCCAGTGCTACGTGTTTTTCAATGACTCTCTAAATGAGGTTATAGTACATGATCAATCTTGGTACCATTGATTTGTTTAAGCATTTAACATTGAATCAAAATTTCTTCAGTAAAAACCACACTATATTTCAGCAACTTCTGTCTTAACAGTAGGGTGATATATCATTTAACAACATATATGTAATTGTATGGAGGATTTCATCATGTGCTGACATCATTCAGAGAACTACTGGAAAACTTGGGAGTACTGGACAGTTGTTTCGTCAGACTAGTTTGGGACTCTTCAGTAGTACACACGCACCGCCACGGTTCGAACCCAGGACCTTCTAGTTACTAGGCGATCTCGTAGACCATTGAGCCACTGGGACCCGATCCAATGGTTTTTGAATTTTAACTTATGCCAATTCACAACACAGCGCGACCATTTCTCAATGTCTTCTTCGATGAGTTACTGCCTCATCTTCGACCTGCTGCACCCTACTAGTCACGGCTTCGCACTAGAACACCAGGTTAACTGCCTGAATAGGGTCAGTCGCTAGTGAGCATCAGATTACCAATACGTGAAAATAAATGTAATTCATAGTAAAATTCATGAGAACAGTGTTGACCAGTCATCGGATAAGACGAGTAGAACGATTTATTCAAGGGTTTCACATGTAGAAGAACACATTACTTACAAGTAGATTGTGATGCTTCGTAGGCACAAGCTATACATGAGATGGAAGCAGAAGCTTCATTTGGCAACAGTCGAAAATCGACACACCTCATTCAACACAACAAAAAGTCTAGCGTTGGTGAGATGACTTGTCAACCTATAACTTTTAACGACACCTGCAAAGAGGAGCATAGAACTTTGAAAAGCAATTCATCTGACCTACAAAAGACGAAGACTCCCAACTAAAAACAACAAGCACCAATTACCGTCAATGGGAAAACTCTAAGGGAATCAATCATTTTTGCTTACCTTATCTGAGAAGTATGGTCTCAGAGGCAGAACTGGTAAAGATGTCAAAGCCAGCCAGGATCAGATAGGGAAAATTAAGACAGGCCTTCATTGCTTTGAAATCAGCGTGAAAATATACAGCACTCCACCGACGGAACAAGATCCAAATTTTCAATACTACTATCAAGTCAGATATGCAAGTGAAAAGCAACAAGCTGGCAGAACAAGCATCAAAGATAGGACTTCAGGTGAACATAGACAAAACAGAGGTGATGAAGATTCCTGCCCAACACCAACAACAACAGACAACAATCAGCCAGCAAAAATGGGAGGAACCTGAAAGAAACAACCTCCTTTATCTACCTACCTACCTACCTACTTGGGAAGCATCGTTTCAACTACAGACGGGCGGAACTGACGAAAATATAAAAGTAAGAATCGGAAAATCAAGACAAGCTTTCATCACTCTCAAGTCTGTGTGGAGGAGATCAACAGCACTCACCATCAAAAATAACATCCGGATTTTCAACTCCAATGTGAAGTCAGTCAGTCCTACTCACTATACGGATCAGAGACTTGGCCAGCGCGTCATAAAGAGCACCTCAAACAAATTACAAACCTTCATCAACAGCTGCCTTCGCTCAATACTCAAGATCAGATGGCGGGCCAGTAAAGATCAGCAACAGGGATCTCTGGGAGTGAACTAACCAGGAACCGATTGTGCAACAAATAAGCAGGAAGAAACGGAGGTGGATTGGTCGTTCTCTGAGAAAACTATCAAGTGACATCACACAGGAGGCCATTGCTCGAGTGGAACTCGACACGGAGGAGGCGGCCAGTTGGTGGTCATTGAGAGGGTGGGGTGACTTGGAGGAGGTCATGTGAAGAGGAGATGAAAGCATATGGGCAGACTTGGAGCAGGGTGAAAAAGTTGGCAGAAAACCGAAGGCAATGGAGACGCGCAGCTGAAGCCCTATGTTCCTCTAGGAATTAAAGGAAATGATAATAATACTATCAAGTCAGTGCTTATATGTGGCTCAAAGGGTTAGCATGCGCATCACGAAAAGCGTTTCTAACAACCTGCTGCAGACTTTCATCAACAGCTAGCTACCCTCACTCGATTCTGAAGATCAGATAGCCTGTTGGCAAGAAGATAAACACCAAGGAAGTGTGGCAGAGAACAATCCAACAATATATTACCCAACAGATATGCAGAAGGCAATGGAGATGAATTAGACACATACTGAAGAGAAAATTTCAAATGACGTCACAGGCAAGTCAAGACTCGAATGGAAAGCAACGGAGTTAGGTAACCAACGGTGGCATAGAGACCATGTGAATAGGTAATGAAAGCTTCTGGTTAGCCGTGGATCCAGTGAAAGTGATGATACAGACCTGAATACAATTCAGATATCGGATTGAAGCCCTATATCCTACTTGAAACTTGAGGAATGAATATAATAAATCAAGTATTTAATTATTCACCTTCATTTTTCACTACTAAATTGAAATACAGACATGAAATGATGTCAGTCCAAGCATGATAAAAAAAAACCGTAGATTCTGTGCTATTAATATCTGTCTGTTTATCCAGAATAGAAACAACATGCATCTTAAACATTATTACTACTTACCACTTCAAGGCAATCTACCTAAAACAAGCTATCTATGCATAGGGTGATGACTGGGAATCAGTAAACACCGAATGGAATAAATAATTCGATGTACATTGAATATAAAATGAATCCCATAGTAATATTCTTGTAATATTTAGATGGCTTATCCGAGTAGTTTCATAAAGAAACATATGAAACCATCAGAGAAGAAACCTGTGACTCTGACTGCACATAAGAAACCTCTATTTATTGAGTTAAAATTTAATGGGGACTTATCTAGTGAGATTCTATTCCAAAGACTTTCAAGGAGTATACGTAGAACATTTTACGCAGCACACCTATGTTGGTCATTCTCTAGCCGACGAATGATTGGGACGCAAACGAAGGATAAGCTTGATAGTTTTGCCACATCTATGTGTATTTATCAATTCAACTGCACCTGCGGTGACAGTTATATTGGGCGTACTACTAGACAGCTTAGCCAACGTGTTAGTGAACATCTCCCATCGTGGTTTGGCAAAGGACAGACAAAAACAATCCGTAGCTCAATTCTGTCACATCTAATTGATAGTGGTCATGTAGTCGAGAAAACAAAAGCCTTCAAAGTAATTCATCGTATCCCACCGAATCTTTCTAATAGACTTCGTATTCGTCTACTGCACACAGCTGAGGCGATAGGCACTAGAACTACTAAACCTAAACTATGCATTCAAAAGAAGTTCGTGCAGCCATTATCTCTCCCGTGGCCTAATAAGACATAACCAACTAAAGACTTCTACACCACCCCTTATTTATATTTCCAACCCCTTTCTTATCATCCCTTAATCTTATCTTATATTCATTATAAACGTGTTTCACTTCCTTCCCCCACAATCTAACATTACGTAATCGGTTCATTTGTTTTTACTAGCCTTTATCGACTACTTCCACCTGAACAATTGTTTGTTTAATCATACTGTTTTTCATTATTCGTGTTATCACAGATTGCCTCACTTTTTCATCCTTATTATTGATAAGACCATTATTATTATTATTACTATTATTAATATTATCATTACCACTATTATGACTAATTGCACAATTTATATTCACCATCGTATTATCCTATAGATAAAACACCATGATTGGTTTATATTTGAATTTTTATTTGTAAACTTATATATATTGGAGTTAAGCCTGATGAGATCTAATTGAAAACAATATTGTTCGCTTAAATGTGTTGTGCTATATTTAGTTGTATAAATGCATTGAACATACCTTCTCTTTTCGTGTCTTATTTCGTACATTCAACTCTTCTTCAAATTCTAAGAAAACACGAAAACCATGATCATGTTTAAATGTTGGATGAGAAGCCAATCGTTGTAGAAAGACTTCATGCATTGCAACTGTTTTTTTAAAAGTAGCTAAGTATTCACTAGAAAAAAAATTGAAAAAATAAATGAAAATATGGATAAAGCAAAAGAAATTAATTATCTTTGATCCCGGTTAGAAAACCATTGGAAAACCTGGGAATACTGGACAACTGTTTCGTTCTGGTGTGAGACTCTTCATCAGTACTCACCCACCGCCAGGGGTCGAACCCAGAACCTTCCGGTTACAAGGCGAGGTCATAGACCACTCAGTCACTGGGACCCGATCCAGTGGCCTATAAAATTGGCAGAATTTGGAATTCATGAGCCATTGGATCGGGTCCCAGTGACTGAGTGGTCTACGACCTCGCCTTGTGACCAGAAGGTTCTCGATTCGACCCCTGACGGTGGGTGAGTACTGATGAAGAGTCTCACACTAGAACGAAACAGTTGTCCAGTATTCCCAGGTTTTCCAATGGTTCTCTAACCGGTGTCAGCTCACGATGAAATCCTGAAACCAATCGAAATTCCTGCAAACGAACACCTGAATATCTTTGATACATTTGTTCATTATTTCGAACCGAAATGCTCAGTCTCTGTTGTCTTGGGAACAAATAATTACTGATACTCTTTACACAAAGGGTGCTTCTTGGGCCGTAGTGGATAATGCTTTGGCATTTGAAACAATCGGTGCAAGGTTACAGTCTCACTGAAAATGCAATTAAATCCAGTTGATGAGTCCCCTAAATAGGACAAAATGAACATCTCGGATTCCACCGCTGGTCATCACCAGCCAAAGATGAAATGTACACCTTGCGTAAGTTATCACAGAAAACTTTGTCATTTAAGACTATCCCCGTACGCATAACTTCTTATTAATGATTTATACAGAGTGGATTTACACGGTAGGTGCTGAGTTTTCTAAGTGAGGATAAAAGCAATCGCGAGGTGTTTTCATGTACAGTATAGCAAGCGCCGCAGTAGACATACCAACTGAGCAAAACAAGTCCATAGAACAACCTTTAAAATAACCAAACGTAACATTTGATGATATTATTATAACATTCCATTAAGCCTGTAACACAAGATCACATAAAATCAACCGCCTAAGAGAATTAAAATAGTAATTGACCGCCCCTGTTTTATCCATCCATTCAAGTAGGCGGGAACAAAAGTGTGACAAGTTTGTTTCTCTACAACTTAAATAACTCACTCGAGTTAGTATCTCATCAACAAAAACCATTAGTCACTAGGATGCAAAAAAATTCGACTGGCAAATTATAAAATGAGATAAAATACTCATCTTGGATTTCAGTTAAGATTAACAATCATCTGTTCTACTACCTATGAAGTTTGTTGGTTATAAAAATGAATCTAACAACTGTTGACTTCATAAGTCGACTTATTTTACGCCATGGTCTTCATAATCTTATAAACTCTTCTACGTCAACCCTATCAAATAAATCACAGTGGCTTCTCATTTCTGTATATTTCACTTGCATACTTTTTTATATATGTACGCAATAGGTCAAGGACATAGACATTTGTTTGAAGTTAGTTATTTCGAAACAGATCTTTCATGAACTAGGCTATGAGTCTCACATTTACTACTCTGTTTTTTTCCTTCACGTTCCCCAGTGGAACATAGGGCTTCAAGCTAGTGGCTTGCAGTTTCTGTAGCAGTTTATTTTTTAGAGGATGGGGTTGCTAGCCTCATACCCAACCTTTCCCCTTTACCAGCATTATTTCTGGCTTAGCGAGGTAAAAGAGTGCGTTAGCGGCCGGGGATCGAACCCCGGACCATGTGCATGGTCGGCGAGCGTCCTAACCGCTATACCACCGACGCTACGGCTCTGTAGCCCCAGCTAACTGACCGGTTTCAGCTTAGAACTTTGTACAGAAGAACAGCAGTTCAAGTTGTCACTCTCCATGTGCCACAAAAAAGGAGAGAAAAATGAGATTCAAAAAAAACATTAATAAGCAAAAACGTACAGGAGAAAGAGTAATAACATAGGAAAACAATAGGGTCTATTGAATATGAGAGATCGCAAAGAGTGAATGCATCTCAGCCAGCCATTGACAACGATTTTGAGCCATATTACCAATTGTATCCAACCTTTATTGGTTCTTATCACCCAGAGGAACCAAACCAGTCAGTCTACACCTTCTTACATGGCTTAAACTGTCAAAGATTTCATGGATTGATACCAAGCTTTGGTTTGACTACCAACTGGCTCTTTTCCGACCTAATCAATCCTGTATCAGATAACATTGCCCGTCGAGGAAGGCGATTGATGGCTAGTCATGCGTAACACATGTCCTAAGCATCTCAAATCAATTCACCTTTACAACCTTATCGTGTGAATTCCCTTCCTTACCCTAAGACTACTCCTAACCTCAGCATTACTCAATATATTATATCACATAACATGGGAGACAGAATTCAAACACCTGTGATCAAAGACAGTTAGACCTTTCATTTCTTCCATTTTCATTAACCTCACTAATCATTCCATCAGCGAACGTCGTGAAAAACCTATGCTCCACTTGGACCCGACCAAAAGCTGCTACCTTGACGTGGTGGTCGGGCTTGAACACCACAATGACCTAATCAAGCTATACTGGCTGAGACTTATGTCTCTTGAGGTCCTACCACGCCAGAAAGGTTGTTTGGATAACGGTTAAACAAAAAGCAGCTACCCAATCCAACATCATGCCCAATACAAAATCACAAAATTTCATGCCGGATCGGCCGTGGCCCGGATTAACAACGACCGTGCTTCCTGCTGCCGTGTCACAGGGCAGGAGTGATAAGTATGCTACTGAGGCACACCAAACAAAAAGAACGAACAAAAACAGGCCGCGTGTGACCGGCCTCAAGCAGTTGTTCCCTGGGCTCTGCGGCCACGCAACCAACTTCCACAGTGTGGGCAGCCGGGAAGTAACAATCGCCCTCACAATCCGAAACGCACGCGAAACCTCTCTATTACTCACTCATCTTTGTTTTCATCTTCATCTCTATCATCTTGCCTTCCTTCCACTGATGCAACTCCTCTACTTGATAGCTCTCCACTTCCTCCCCACTCTGCATCCACTAAAAACGATGGAAGCCAAAAAACCACCACCGACAGCCTCTTAAAGCCGCGCCACCAATTTCATATAGGAGCATTTAATGTTAGGACACTGTGCCAAATAGGACAACAAGCATCACTAGCTAAGACCCTGGCATCCCGAGCCAGTGATGTATGCTGTGTTTCAGAAACACGCATACAAGACCCAAGTGTGGTTATTCACCCAACCCCACCTGGCCAACAGGTTGAATCTGCAAAATTCACCTTAACGGTGTCAGGAGATGCCACAGCCAGTTCACGAGGATTAGCTGGTGTAGGGATAGCTTTGAGTACTAGGGCAGAAAAGACATTGCTTGACTGGATCCCGGTAGATAGTCGAATGTGTGCTGTCCGTCTGAACGGATCAGTAAGAAGGAGGAAGGACTGCACTACTCGCCGATGCCTTTTTGTAATCTCCGCCTATGCCCCCACTGACTGCAGTTCAGATGAAACGAAAGATGAGTTCTACCAAAAGCTGCCTAGTTTGCTGCGAAAAGCTAAACGCTCAGACATAGTCGTTCTACCTGGTGACTTTAACGCTCAAGTAGGGAAATTATGTCAATCTGAGAAGGATGTCGGTGGCACCTATGGAGTCCCGTGCCAGCGAACCGACAACGGTGACCGTTTCCTACAGTTCTGTTCAGATAATCATTTGTTTCTTGTAAGCAGTAACTTCAAACACAAGGAGAGACACTGTTTGACCCGGAGACCCCCTTCATCAAACCAACGCTGGACACAAATAGACCACATAGCAATAAGCTATCGTTGGCGTGGGTCGGTAGGAGATTGTCGCTCCTTCTGGAACACGTGTGTAGATACCGACCATGCACTGGTCCACGCCCGGGTGGGCTTACGACTGAACGGACGTAGGAAACAGCTGGCGGTAAAACCATCACGTCCCCAGCTCGATCAGGAAACTAAATCCCTATTTGAGGAAGAACTAGCTAAACACATATCTGTGTTCGACAGGTGTGCTCACCCTGAAGAACCTTGGAAAAATATCCAGGCAGCCATAGATACAGCTGTAAGAGCTGTGAATAAGGTAAACCCAAAGGTGAGTAAAAACCACTGGATCTCCACCGCCTCATCCGAACTGATAGATGCTAGAAGACTTATTCCGGCGAGCTCCGAATTCAATGAGGAGCGAAAGCTGCACAAGAGGAAACTTACGAAAAGTCTCCGCAAGGACCGTGAACAGTGGTGGCTGACAAAAGCTAAAGAGATGGAGAAAGCTTCGAGGATAGGCAACACCAGGTAACTCTTTAGACTCATCAGGGAAACGGGTGGGAGAAGACAAATCATCAGTGAAACAATCTCGGAAAAAAATGGCACTATAATTAGCTTACAGGATAGACGACTGGATCGTTGGAAAGAGCATTATGAGGAGCAGTTTAATTGGCCCACAGCCACGCTCAAACTTCCGAGCATCCAACACCTCCCTGAATGGGATATAGACACAGCTCCTCCATCCCTAACTGAGGTTACTAAAGCTGTCACCAATCTGAAACTAGGCAAAGCAGCAGGACCTGATGGAATCACTCCAGAGATATTTAAGTACGGTGGAGACAGTTTACTGTCTGCATTAACTGAGGTACTAGGCAGCGTCTGGGAATCAGAAGAAGTCCCATCGGGTTGGTGTAAGTCACTGATTATCCCCATATACAAGAAGGGAGACAAGTCTTCCTGTGATAATCACAGAGGGATTAGCTTGACTAATATAGTAACTAAAGTCTTAGGCTCAATAATCATGCGTAGAATAAGTGGTGCTCGGGAGGCACATACACGAGAGAGCCAGGCAGGCTTTAAACCACGAAGAGGGTGTATTGATCATATCTTCACCCTCCGACAGATTCTAGAACATAGGAATTCCTACCGGCGTCCAACAGTCATTATATTTCTTGACCTAAAGGCAACATTCGACTCTGTCGATCGAGAAGCTCTCTAGAGATGCTTGGCTGTAAAGGGGATTCCGAGAAAATATATTGCACTGATTAAGGCACTCTACTCGTACTCATACAGCCAGGTGAGGGCTTACGGCGAGCTGTCATCTGAACTGGTGACGACCAGTGGTGTCCGTCAAGGATGCCCATTATCCCCTTTTCCATTCAACTTCATCATAGATGTGTTAATGGACTTAACCCTAAGTGACTTCAGCGACTCAGGGATTGACTTGCTACCAGGGAATAATCTCGTTGACTTGGAATATGCAGACGATATAGTCCTTCTAGGCGACGACGCTGACAAAATGCAGAGTCTTCTGAACACCTTGAGCTGTAATCTACGAATGTTTGGCATGCGATTCGCTCCCGCCAAATGCAAGATGATGTTACAGGACTGGACTACATCGACGCCTTGTTTAAAAATAGGAAGTGAAGTGGTAGAGCTGGTTGACCGCTTCACTTATTTGGGAAGAACCATCAGCCAACGCCAACGGGTTGATCTCTGACGAAATCTCAGCATGAACACAGGGGGCTCGATTCGCATTTGCCAGTTTACGCCGTCTCTGGCGTAGACGAGATGTTCGACTACCGACCAAAGGGCGGGTGTACTGCTCATCAGTCCGTTCCGTCCTCCTTTATGGTCGTGAGACCTGGCCACTGAGAGTGGAAGACATGAAAAGACTAGCTGTCTTTGTCTGCCTGTGCTCTATTTCCCGTGTAAAGTGGTATAATAAGGTGAGCAACATGGAGGTTAGGCGTAGAGTTCTAGGTAAACAGGGGAAATCAATCGACGAAGTCGTGAAGTTACAAAGACTGAGATGGTTAGGACATGTGTTACGTATGCCAAGCCATCGCCTCCTTCGACGAGCTATGTTAGCGGATATAGGGTCAGACTGGAAAAATGCTAGCGGCGGTCAAACAAAAACTTGGCTTCATCAGTCAATGAAATCCGCAACAGTTGGTCTAAGCCACGTAGGAAGGTGTAGACTTCCAGGCTGGGGTCCTCGGGACGGTAAAAATCTATGGTTGGAAACAATTGGTGACATGGCTCAAAACCGTTCTCAGTGGCGCAGATGCATCCACTCCTTGTGACTTATGATCTCCAATGAAACTGTTTTGTTCTTCGTTATTACTCCTTTGTCTCACACCTCTGCTCACTGTTTCTATTATGCTTTTCTTGTACTTTCTTCTCTTGCTTCGCGTGCTACACAGAGTGTGGCGATTTGAACTTCCGCACATTTGTGTATAGTTCTATGTCTAAAACAGACAGACAGCTCCACGTGGAACGCAAAATGAATGAAAAAAGATATTCATACCGTTCATATAAATACAAAGTCATAAATACTTACGCTTCTAGTTCAGCTTTCATTTTCAATAAATCTTCTTTAGGTAGATTACCGTCATTTTCTCCTAATTTTTGTAATTTAGCTCGAGATGCATCGAAATCTGGTTTGGGCGGAACTGGTGGGACCTTAGTATAACAAGATAATAATAATAATAGAGGCAGAAAATAATTTTACTAGTGTATTAAGGTTACAGTTAAAAGGTAACTAATTATTGAGTGAAATATATATTACGATGATTAAAGAAATTTAACTCCCTATGATTTGATAACGACTTTTGAACATTCAGTGAACGAAGTTCTTTTCATAGACCCTATATCTCCTTGAAGCTCTAGTTCATAATACATTAACTCTTTGAACTGAGTTATCCGGAACGAACTTTTCATGTACCGAACTAGGAGCCGCACTTATAGTGTGAAGACTGATGACACCACTCACTTACCTAGACTGAATTAGGCGGAAAGGGACTCGAACCTGTGCACCATCTGTTGTACACGTCAAGTGCTTAGACAGATGAGCTTCTTCTACATGAAGATGTGTCAGCATTATTTCTTTGGGTTCCAATTAATTAAAGCATTGGGCTTGAGCAGCACATTTCCATTCCACCTGTCTCCAGCAGTCTTCTTTTTCAGCCGACTTGACGACTGTCACACTCAGACTGGTATGTGATGATGCACTTAAGTAGATGATCCCTTTTTCATATGACTTTTGGTCTGTACGAAATCAGATGACAATAGATCTCGAAATGTTTACTATCAAGTGGACGCACACATACAGAGCTTCTTCTTGTGGAGGATAGAAAATATCTTGGTAAATATCATAAATGATGCCATCTCAGATGACATCTCACCACAGGTTTTATTCGAATTCAAAAGTAGTCAAGAGTGTACCCCATTCATACTACAGATTCAAGTGCGTAGTTAGAATACCAGCCAGCTCACCAACTAAAAGTGTTTACTTGTTAAGTGACAATTTTCCAACTTCATGACTGTCACAAGTTGAATCGCTTATGGAATTATAAACACGCACAGTTGTAAACCCCTAATCTGGTAGGAATGACTTGTGTAAAAATTGATTGTTAATAATAAGACACTTAACTCCATTCACTTTAGTAAGTATAAACCTTATTCCATGACCAATATAAAGACAATCAGTTCATTAAACCTTTATAGCATTTATTACATAAAATACTTTTTTTTCTAAACCTGATTGGTTTAAGACTTTTATTATACCTAATGCAAGAAATCGATGATACAATGTTCTGAAATCCATAAATGGATTGTGTGTGTGTGTGTGTGTATTTTTTAGCATGAATGAGATAGCTAAATAACAAACCAGTATTTAGAAACGAGTGCTTACAGAATAAACCACATGTATTTAAAGGTATTGAATGGCTCTTTTTTTAAAAAAAAAAAGGCGTACAGTAAATTGATACCCCTCCTAAGACTTGTCTGTCAAACGCATTACATGTGATGAAGCTAATTAGCTGCTTTTATGCCTTGCTACCATATACCAACGGTATCCGAGGGTGACATGGAGTGGATAAAAGCTTACGGGAGGTCGTGGAGCCAGCTAAATATGATTGTAGAGAACAGGATGAAATGGAGACGTGTTGTTCCACTCATAATCTAAGGGAATAATAATAAATACTGACTAACTGATCGATAATAACAACGTTGAGATATGCACAATTGTCAGTCAATTCTCCATTACTACAATCAGGAATAATAACAATGAAACGACACTAATACAATAAATAAAAATGATTCAGAAAAATATAAGAAAGTAGCAAAATCACAAGTTGTAGAAGAACTGAGTATATATTTGATGTAACTTCGTACATTTTGACAGACAACTACTAATAGCTTGACGTGGTGGTCGCATTTGCATAGCTGTAATGGCCCAACCAGCTACACTGACTGCAACTGATGTTCCTGCAGAAAGGCCATTCGAATAGCGGTTAGACTAAAAGAAGTTACTATCACAGAGAGGTCTGTAGGATAAGTCATACGGCTGGCAAATAGGGATATAATAGAAGTGTTTCCCCCAGACGACCAGCAAGCTAGTTATGCTGCCTCTCCGCTCTGCGAACGGGGAGAGAGAAGAGGTTTGCTCCGGAAATTGTACACTCCGACTCATACTGTGGTGGTAAGATCTTAATACGACCACAACTAAACCCACTTCAAATAGGCCGTGTGTGACTGACCTCAAGTAGTTGTCCAATAATCTCTGCGATTACGTAACGCTGATGCGCCATGTCTTTCAACTACTCCCAGAAGAAATTAACCTCCACGGTGTGGGGAGCTGGTAATTAATAATCGTCTGTAAACACCCCGATGGGTAACTAAAGCTTTCCTAATTATCATCGACCTTCATTTTCTCGCTTTCCTATCACTGTTAATATTTTATAGATATATTCCGCACCTTCTCTTGACTTCAAGAGCATTAACAGCTATCAGAGCCGGTAAAATACTAAAGATAGTCTCTTAGAATCACGATAACAACTTCATATTGAAGTATTTAACGGCAAAATCATCTGTCAAATCGGACAACAGGCTTTACAAGGCAGAACTCAGGTATTTCAAGGTATGTATGTATGTTGTGTTTTGGAGAAACGCACACAAGACCTTTAAATTGTACCGAATACATGTTCTTAACACAGTTCGAGTTCTGCTTCTATTTCTTCTTTGGTTATCTATCCGTCTGCTACACCTTGGTGTCGTATGTGTACAACGCTACTCTGCAAACATGAATTCCGCATCAGATAGTGAACCACCTAAACCGCTTCCAAAGTAATGCTCACCAACCAAATGGTATCCACTCACAATGCATAAACCTTCAGTTATCCACCTCACGTAGAAGTGCCAGATTTAGAAGCTGCGCCGAACTTTGATTACGCTTTTGTCCGTACAAATATACGCCTACGACTGTACGGACAATGAAAATGGACAGATATGAAGCCGCCATACCCCCAGCTTGATGAGAACACTGTCTTCATTTAGGCAACAAATAAATAAACGTATGCAATTAATAGTGTTCTCTTTCTTCATGAATGCCTCCGCCAGCAGATTCCACCAGCTAGTGTCAAATATAAACCACCAATTAACTGCCCTCTAGGCTGGAAATTAGCCAAACAACATGGGAAACAAATGGTGAAATTAATGATCACGGATGCACACAATAAGATTAAAAAATACCAGCATATGATTAGATTTAAAAAAGAAAAGGTTGAACAGACTCTTACCCCAGAACATCTGTCAACATTGAATATTGCCATTGAAATATTAAGCGAACGGCACAAGGAGCGAAGATGAGTTGTCCTCAAAGGAAAACTAGCTAAGATATCCAAACAACCATCTGAAGAAACTCTAAATGATTGCGTAGTTAAACTATCGAAAACCAAAGAACAACTTCTTCAGAAAGGATTCAACTACAACATCTCAGTGGAAAACTTCTGTGCTTCCTTAGAATCATCACTTATATTATCAAAATTAAATGAGGAAGTACAACAAGAAATATGTCTATGTATCATACCAATACTCAAACAAAAAAGACATAATTCCCAATTTAGCACTGAAGAGCAAAATGCATTGAACGAACTGAAAAATAGAAAAGATATAGTTATTCTACCGGCTGGTAAAGGAAGAACAACAGTAATCCTGGATACAGAAGACTACATAAAAAAAGCAGAGGATTTACTCAAAGATAATAATGTATATCAACAGTTGACGAAAAACCCTATAGAAACATTAGAAAACAAAATCAAAACAACGTTAAATAAACTAACGAAATCAGGAAAAATTACAAAACAAGATCAATGGCGAATGAAATCTAACGAACCCACTTTACCTCGATTCTATGGTAGACTAAAACTACACAAACCAAACATTCCCTTATGACCAATCGTTTCGCTTCCAGGAACACCAACATATAATCTACCTAAAGAACTTTTCAGGAAATTAAATTACCTAACAGAATCATGCGACCATTCTATCGATTCGTCAATCCAATTTTTAGAGAAAATCAAAATCATTCAAATAGAAGACTATGAAATAATGGTGTCCTTTGATATCACAGCATTATATACTTCAATTAGTCCAAAACTAGCAACAAAAACTATGCAACAATTACTCTATAGTGATGAAAACATAAAAAGGCAATGTTCAACTTGGATAGAACTCATAAAATTATGCCTTACAACATACTTCCAATTCAATACTTAAATATACGACCAAATAAAAGGAACACCAATGGGATCGCCCATATCAGGATTAATAGCTGAAGCCGTCATGCAAAGACTAGAATTGATAGCTCTACCTATAATTTAAGCCAAAATCTCGGTACGTTACGTTGATGATAAATTTGTAATAATTAAGAGAAATGATTTAGAATATACCCATAAATTAATAAACAACATATTTGAAGACATCAAATTCACAAGAGAAGAAGAATTAGATAACAAAATCCCATTTTTAGATGTCTTAATCAGGAGAACCAACACAGGAAATTTAGAAACCAAGTATATAGAAAATCAACGCACACAGATCAAATACTCAACTATACTAGCAATAATCCAATTACTCAGAAAAGAAACTGTGTGCAGACCTTGTTTAAAAGATTTCAAGCACACTGTAGCACACACTCCTGTGTTGAAGAGAATGGAACAAAAATACTTACTAACTGTCTTCAAAAAGAACGGATATCCTAACAGTTTCATCAAAAAGTGTTTAAAGTCGAATCAAAACACCAACAAGGAACCATCATCAAAGACCACAAGAAAATTCATTCTACCATACATGAAAAATATCTCTGAAATAACAGCTAGAATACTGAAACCGTTTGATATAGCATATAGCACACAAGCCAATCAAATCGCTTAATTTGATGTTATGCAAACCGAAAGATCCAACAGAAAAAGGGGATAAAATTAATACCATTTACAAAATAAATTGTATGAACTGTAACAGGCATTACATCGACCAAAGTGGGCGTCCCCTTCGAATCAGAGTGCAGGAACACAAATCAGCCGTGAAAAGGCACGATATATATATTCTTTCATATCAATGCATACAGAAAATTATGGACATTAGTTTGATTGGGATAATGTTGAAATCTTAGACAGAGGAAACATCAAAAGTGCAGTCAGGGAATTCCTAGAAGCCTGGTACTCGAACGAATATGCAATTAACAAACATGTTAATATAGATCAAATATACAAGCTAATAAAAAGTAAATCAGGTGACGAGAAAGTTCAAAATCCAAGTCAATAGAAAATGATCATATGTAATACATATGTAAAGATGGTTACCGAGAAAAAATGAAAAATTTAAATCATTTCACTTTATACTAAATATTGCGCTGAAGATGTTGTCCAGAAGGACGACGAAAGCTCCGTAACTAAACCAACCAGGTAAGAGAACACTATTAATTCCAAATCATCCATCTGAGTTATAGATATTCTCTATTAAATAAACGTATGTCTGAGATTAGCAGCAAGACTCATCCTTAGGAAGCCTGGCATAATGCCTAGTCAATCGTATAAACAGTAGAAAAGGCTGATGATAATTTACGACCAAAGGTTATTAAATGTCAGTGGATTTCTGTTACCTCACTCGAACTGATAGACGCAAGACTGAATTCGGTGAGCGAAAGTTGTTCAGACGCAAGTTGACCAAAAGTCTCCACAACAACCATGAATAAGGTTGAGCGTTGAAAACCAAATAAATGGAAAAGGCATATGCTATGGGTGGAACCAAACATTTCATTTAGGCTCATTACGCAAACAGGTAACTAAAAGATAAATGATTCAACAATCATGCGTACAATGAGCGATACTCAGGAGAAACAAACCTATGAAAACCAGACATGTCAAAGTATTAATTATTGAGAAATAGATCGAAGGATTTATCATTAAAAGTAACTTACAATTAAACCTGCATATGCATCATTTTCAACCAGATGATCATGTAACCATACAAATTCTTCATGCATTCGTTGTACATCGCATTCATTTTGTTTGAAATCAGGTAGTGTGGTCTATTATTGTGAAAATTAGAAACAAGAAGCAAAGCAAACCAATGTTACTGAATGAATTGCTACATTATCAGAATTATAAATATAATTCCAGAATGACATTTCATATACCACACTAAGATAATATAAACCAACGAAAAACAATTCAAAGTCGATTCAGATTCCTTTAGGCTAACACACGTAACTCAGCTGTAGGGTATGTACGCATGTTTATTTACTTACCGAAAAGTCCGATTAAGGGTAAGTTCATGAATATTATGTGATTTCTTAGGCTACAAATGGAATGGAATTTGAATGCAAGATCCATTGGTTGGAAGTCAAGAACAGTCAAGGCAATAAGTCAAAGTTTCAAATAATACATTGAATGATAACTCTTCAAAACAGAAAGTAACCTCATAAAACTAAAAATCTAAATTAGTGATAACATCCAAACAGACATCGGCACATCACAGTCCATGGAAGCTGACAGTAGATAATATTGATAAACTTCATGAATTTATTCCCCTTGATGAATTTGAGTAAAGCAAGAACAAAAAGACGATTCTACGACAATCTAGCTACTGAAGCTGAAAAGGCAGCAGGCAAAAGGGACCTGAGGACACTATATCAGATAACCAAATCTCTATCCGGGAAGAGACCAACACAAGCGAAACCTATAAAAGACAGCCAAGGGAAGCCCATTACCAAGGAAGAAAAACAGATTAAACAATGGGCGGATCACTTCAAAGGACTCTTAAACAGACCACCACCTGCAACCCGTCCAAAAATAACAACAACAGCGCACACACAACTGCAAGTTGACACCAATCCTCCAACAAAGGCTGAAGTCTTGAATGCAATCAAACTTCTGAAAGCTGGAAAAACAGCCGGACCAGATGGAATACCCTCTGAAGCACTGAAAGCAGACCCAGAGACGACAGCAGACATGCTGACTCCACTATTGCAAAAGGTCTGGAAGAAGAGTGAGGTGCCTACTAACTGGAGGAAAGGTTACCTCGTGAAACTACCGAAGAAGGGCGACTTAGGACTCTGCAAAAACTGGCGAGGAATCATGCTCCTATCGACGCCAAATAAAATCCTGAGTCGCATCATCCTGGAGAGATTAAAGGACGCACTGGAGACAGAACTCCGACCAGAACAAGCTGGATTCAGGAAAGGCAAATCATGTCCTGACCAAATTGCAACTCTACGCATCATCATCACAGAACAATGCATGGAATGGCGATCAAACCTCTACCTCAACTTTATAGACTTTGAGGTCTTTGACAGACATCGTTGACCGCGAAGTAATTTGGAAACTACTCGAGTACTACGACGTACCTCAAATATTCATCAACTTTATTCAACAACTGTACGGCAACGGAACATGTCAAGTGATCCACAACGGAAAACTCAGCGAGGCGTTTGGAGTAAACACAAGAGTCAGACAAGGGGAGGATAACCGTTGTTTTCAGCACCCTTTCGAGATTCGTAAATTCTTCCTTTAGTTTCTCTGCAGAGCATATTCTCCTCGCTCTATAGTACAGAGTTTTGACTAGTGCTCGTTTATAGCTATTTGGACAAAAAACTATTAAAATTTAAGTATTGTCCATTCCATGTGGGCTTTCGGTAGATTGACCTCTGGAGACTACCATCTTCTAGGTGTTGCATGGCGAAATCAAGGAAGCCAACGAAATAAATGATGGTACCATATTATTCTGCACAAACCACTGTTGTTCTTGCTTTATTCAAACATTGATAAAAATTTGTTTAACAGAGTACCGAAGAATAATTCATTTCTCTACTTACTGTGATTGTACAAACTCCCTTCTTTTTTTTCTTTTCTACAATTCTGAAGAACTATACATACTGAACTCACCCACTGTTACGAAAACTTTGGTGTTTTCCATGATACCCTGCAGGAAACCACTAGATTCAAACTAATATGTGTGTTGAATGAATACATAGATACCAAGTTTACATCAATACACTCCTTTAAATTCAAGACACACCTTAGCCATCTTACACCAACAGTACAGTACTTCGATTTGACACTAGTAACTAGTGTGATGCGTCTAGTCCTCTGATTGGTGTAGACTGAATTCTATCAGTCAGGTTGTAATGTAACCGCCACTCTAACTAGCTCGTCATCAAGGTGCACATTGATTTGATGGTATTAGATGGTTGGAGGCAATCGGCAGGAAGCCCTAGACCTAAGTTTCGTGCTAGTTGGCACTCGTCACCAAGGCGTATCTGCAATCTTGAAGGAACTCATGTCCCTTCTCAGATTCGAACCCGCGTCACCCAGTGAGAACTGCAGTCAGAGAGGTTACCATTGAGCTATTCGGGCTCGCGATTGACCTCCTGTAGGACTGTAGTGGATATTTTGATTTGATACTAGTAACTAGTGTGAAGCATCTAGTCTCAGGGCTCGAATCTGAGAAGGGACATGAGTTCCTTCAAGATTGCAGATATGCCTTGCTGACAAGTGCCAACTAGCATGAAACCTAGGTCCAAGGCTTCCTGCCGATTGCCTCCAACCATCTAGTACAGTACTTCGGCAGAAAAACTCCCATTACCAGACTTGAACCACATTTTGCTTAAAGAGCATTGCCTCATCTAGATCAATCAATTTAACCACATATTTATTTACATCACATTGGATATACCTCTTGCACTCAGCCAAATTGACCTTATATATACATATATGGAAAATTTGTTCAAAGAATGGTATTCGAGAAGAGAAATTAGTACATCGCTTAAAGCTGATACACATTTCTTATGAAAGTGATGGATTTGGAAGAATTAAGTTCTTGTCTGATATTATAACCTTAAATAACTTTCACACAGTCCCATAAATATAACTTATTATACTCTACTGGATTCCAATTTTTATTGAATGAGCCATCCAATAGGAAGAGACACTGAAAACCTATTTTCGGGTTTTCTCGGAAACTGTTATCTTAAGAATTTGTATCAGAAACTGAAGGATGAAACTATAGAGGATACCTTCACTGCAGCTATCGGAGCAACGGCGGAGAAAGTAAGTAGCATCACTGAGGAAACCTGTTTGAGAGAACATTGGAATTTTATAAAGGTGATGTTCAAAGAAACATGTAGAACCGTTTTAAGAAGAAAGGAGGGGCAACACAAGGATTGGCTCTCAACGGACATCTGGAAGCCAATAGAAGAGAGGAGGATGGTAAATGAGAAGATGGACAGAAGAAGGAGAAGCTGAGCTCAATTTACATCTCACTGAATAAAGAAGTGAAGAAGAAGAGTGCTAGGAAAGACAAAAGACAATCCTACGAAATACTGGCAACTGAGGTAGAACAGGCAGCAGGTAAAACCTATAAAAGACGGTCAAGGGAACCTGATCACCAAGGAGCAAAAACATATAAAACAATAGACTAATTGCTTCAAAGGATTCTTGAATCGACCATCACCTGCAACTCGTCCAGACATGCTACCAACATCACGCACGAACTGCCAGTGGACACCAGCCCCCCCCCCCGGACGAAAGAAGAATTCCTAAATGCGATCAAGCTACTGAAGTCCGGAAAGGCAGCTGGACCAGACAGAAAACCTCCCCCCGAAGCACTGAAAACTGACTAGGAGACTGCATCAGATATGGTCATGCCATTATTGCAAAAGGTTTGGAAGGAAGGAAAGGTGACTACCGATTGGAAGAAGGGCTAGTCAAGCTACCAAAGAAGGGCGACATATGCCTGTTGTCGCATCATCCTAGAGAGAATAAAGGATGCACTGAATACAGAACTCCACCCCACCGCCCGAAATGAGCTGCATTCAGGAAAGGCAAATCATGTGCTGATCAAACTGCAACTCTACGCATCGTCGTCGAACACAGCCTAAAAAAGAATGGCAGTCAAACCTCTCTACCTCAACTTCACTGACTTTGAAAAGGCCCTCACCAGACAGCGTTGACCGAGAAGTAATTTGGAGACTGTTTCACTGTGTGATACATCTAATAAACAAACTAATATGGAATTACTTACCACCACAGTGCCCAAGTTTTACACATATATTAATTTGGAGACTACTTCAACACTACGGCGCGCTGCGTTCTATCTCCCGTGTAAAGTGGTATAATAAGGTGAGCAACATTGAGGTTAGGCGTTGAGTGCTAGGTAAACAGGGGAAATCAATAGACGAAGTCGTGAAGCTACAAAGACTGAGATGGTTAGGACATGTGTTACGTATGTCAAGCCATCGCCTCCCTCGACGAGCTATGTTAGCGGATATAGGGTCAGGCTGGAAAAAAGCTAGCGGCGGTCAAACAAAAACTTGGCATCAGTCAATGAAATCCACAACAGTTGGTCTAAGCCACGTAGAAAGGTGTAGACTTCCAGGCTGGGATCCTCGGGACGGTAAAAATCTATGGTTGGAAACAATTGGTGACATGGCTCAAAACCGTTCTCAGTGGCGCAGATGCATCCACTCCCTGTGACTTATGATCTTCAATGAAACTGTTTTGTATTTCTTTATTACTCCTTTGTCTCACACCTCTGCTCACTGTTTCTATTATGCTTTTCTTGTACTTTCTTCTCTTGCTTCGCGTGCTACACGGAATGTGGCGACTTGAACTTCCGCACATTTGTGCAAAGTTCTATGTCGAAAACAGACGGACAGACAGACAGATAGACTACGGCGCGCAGTGCCCAAATCTTCACCAACCCCATTTAATAACTGGCTTTATCACAATGCCACGTGCCACGTGATCCACAACGGGAAACTCAGTGAGGCGTTCGAAGTGAATATAGGAATAAGACAGGGCTGTCAGCCTATCATCACCTGCGATGATATTCCTAATTTTGATGGACTGGATTATGCATCAGACTGCATTGGGAGCGAGGATACAGGAATACACTGGACCACCGATATGAAGACTAGAAGATCTGGATTTCTCAGATGATATATGTCTCATGTCACACAAACTAGAACACCTACAGACGAAAACCAACAAACCGGCTGAATTGGCAGGCAGTGAAAACATGACTCCAGGTGAACATAGAGAAGACGGAGGTGATGAAGATAACCAACCATTACAAACAGCAACAATAACCAGCACCAATCACCATTAACGGGAGAGATTTGACAGATGTTACTTCCTTCAATTATATAGGAAGCATTGATTCAACTGCAGCCAAAGGAACGGATGAAGATGTCAAAGCCAGCCACAATCAGAAAGGCGAAATACACACGCTTAAATCAACCTGAAATCACTTTGAAATTCTTCTTTACTCAGCAGCATAAAGAAAATGGCTGAAATATTCAACAAAAAAGTCAAGTTAGTCGATTCTTCTATATGAGTCAGAAACTTGCATTGCGCGTCACGAAAACCATTTCCAACAGCCTATTGCACACTTTTATCAACAGCCACCTCCGTTCCATACTGAAGATCAAATGGCTAGCTGGCCAGAAAGAATTAGAAACAAGAAACTATGGCAGCAAACTAGCCAAGGACCTATCGCTTAACAGATACGTAGGAGAAAAAGGAGGTGGATTGGGAGCACGTTGAAAACGTCGAATGACGTCGCGCCATCGCCAGACCATTGCTTGAATGGAATCCGAGTGGGAAATGACGAGTAAGTCGTCCTAGGGTGACGTGCAGAAGATTGTGCGAGCAGGAGATGGAAGACTATGGGCAATCGTGGGCCCAGCTAAACAGGACTGCAGAAAATAGGACAAATCGGAGACTTGTTCTTGGAGCCCTATGTTCCACTCAAAACCCAAGGGAACAAGAATAATAAGCATTTGTGGGCATAGATGAAAACACAGTAAAACAATTATCGACAATAAAATTGTTCAAGTTCTAAAGTATGTAACATATTATAAAGCCAAACGACTGTTAGTTTTTTTCTAACAGTACGATAGATTACTAGTCAATGACTGGAAGAAGCGTTTTAAACTGATTACAGAGTGATGCAATATAATGATTGTTTGAAAGAGCAGCTATAGTGCATCATTATCAATTTCTTTACATTTGTTACTAAAAACGTGTGTACAAATTAGGATTACAAGACTATTAATCAAAAGCTAAATATGTCCGACATGAAATACATGATAACTTTTAACAACAAGGGGCAGTATTGCTACAAATAGATTATTACAATAAGAAATTATATAGTGCAGAAAGTCTAACAACCTTTGTATGAATTTTGAAGATTATACGATCTTTATCGCACATTGCTCCAGAAATTTCAACGACCAATGATTCTGAACTTGGATCACTAGCATCTGACCAACCTCGGGTCTGAGGAGGTAGTTGTGGGAAGGAGGAACCCCCACCAATAGAAACAGTATCATGATAAATGCTGGTTGAGTGCTCACCGATCTGTTCCTAAAAATTAAAGATTATACATAATTGGTTTTCATCAGGGACTTTATAAAATCTTTTGTAACGATGAGTCAAGTGAAGTTAACAGCAAACACATGACAACATAACATTCTATTAGAAAGTTGAATGTCTTGACAACTTTCCACTTTAATCCTTAAATGAATAAAATTCAGTCTTTTAAAAAGGGAGACAAGTCTTCTTGTGATAATCACAGGGGGATTAGCTGGATTAATGTGGTATCTAAAGCCCTAAGGCTCAATAATCATATGTAGATTAAGTGGCGCTCAGAAGAAACAAACACGAGAAAATCAGTCTGGTTTTAGACCAGGAAGAGAGTGAGTCAATCATATATTCACTCTTCGACATGCTTACTTAACAGCAACAAACAATTGCAATACTTCTTGACCTGAAAGTGGCATTCGATTCCGTTCACTCTGAGGTTTATCATATTCAATAAAATTCTACTATTCATCCATATTACTATTCTTTTTCCCTCACACTTCTGTTTATTGTCTCTCTTTTGAACCTCCTTTTACTCTTTTCTCTTGCTTTGTGTGGCACATTGAGTGCGGCAACTCAAATTGCTGCACATCTGTGCAAATTTCTATGTTAAAACCAGTCAGTCTCTCAAAAATGTTTTAAATCCACCAAAGAATCGATATTATTCATGTCTAACATAACTAATAGTGATTTATATTCCGACTAAAATAAAATTATCGATATTTCAATGGTCATACCAATATAACTGCGAAAACAAAGGCTTAAAATGGATAAATTTTTGGCTCACCACAATAGCGACTTTAGATTTACATAAAGTACTATATCAGAAAGCATTTTTCCAGTCTAGTTTGAGCCGGTTACTGCCTTTTCGAAGTAAATAACATATCTTATTATATCAGATGACTGGAGGCGATCGGCAGGAACCCTTGGATCTTATTATCTTAGTATATCCTTATATTTAATTAGTATACGTACCGTGGTCGTTTTAGATAAAGAGTGCGGGAACCTAGTAATTTGAATGCGAAATAACTAAAATACTATATTATGAAACTGGCATTCACTTTTTTTATCTATTGAAATAATATCTAATAGAGGTTAACTGAAACCTCAATAAAGCGCACAAGATGTGCCGCCTAAACAACGTCCTGCACCATTCCAAATATAACACCCATGATTATTACACCATAAAACGACACTTCAGAATGCTTCTTTAAACACTAGTCATAAAAATTCGAAACAATAGCTAACTTCAGTAATTCATAGCTTAGAAACATCTGTTTTCCTATAAAGCTTAAGCTGACTGACTTCTTTCAACTGCCAAACTTGAAAAAACCGGGTCCACATTCATGTTTTACTTTGGCAACACATACTTCGAAACCGCATATTACGTTAGGGTAGACCCTGGTACTAAGTATGGTTTATATCATCAAACAATTCGAGAGTAATTTACACACTTTGCTGAGAACACCTTCAAGCCAAGTGACTAGAAAACCGATGTAAAACTATGAAAAGAAGTGAGTCTAATTTGTCACACTTCATGAGATAAAATACGAGAATAAAAGAACAGTAACTTCATAATACCACAATGGAAAACATGAACAACTACAATGTTTCTATTTCCCAAGATGACAATGCAAAAAGACACCTCGGTCTTGAGATATTCCACAGAAATTCTTTAACTTATGATACTCCATATCGATAGTCGATAAAACCAAGGTTGTTGTGGTGTTCAGAACTACACATACAGGAATTCCTTTCATCAATCTTTAACTCAATACACATGACGCGTCTCAACCATCTTATTTCTGAAGATTCATTATATCGACAGGCTGACCATTATTTCATAACATGAAGTCTAATCGTGATATGACGTACTTTGTGACTCGAATATACGGGAATATATCTAACCGATGAAAATGAGAAACGGTAACCAGTTACCTGTTTTACAAATATGGAGCTCCCAATAAAACTATGAAATAACACGGAATGGCCAACTTGAAGTTCTGTTTACCAGCTTCTGAGCAAATCTACTGAGGCTATTCTAACCAGATTTTTCATGTGATAGGATCTACACAAATGTCGGTTTATCTCAAATTAAGTAATTTGGGTTAAGACGACTAATTCCGAGATAAAGAACAGCTAACCAGATAGAAATTTCTGCTGCATAACTTAGGCAGGCGTTAACTACATTAAAAGACCATGGGTTTGAAATCTACGTCAGCGTCACACAGAAATTCGACTTTAAATTAGGAGGAAGACAAGTTTCGAAGCCTACTGCGGTAGCCTAACAAGCTTTCGGTGCATACTCGCCGTTATTTAGCAGTCGTCAGCAAAACGTTTAGAAATTACACTAAGATGTCAGGAATTTCATTACGAAGAGCACTACAGATGGTGTAGGATTTTCTTGTCCTCACATGCCCACTTTACACAGAATACCCTGGCAATGTGGCATGCCCAGAATTTAATAAAGCTAATCTAAAGCCTTTAAGATTGTAAGTAACAGTTGGCACGCACTTAATTAAAGATCAATTATGAACATTAAAATTTGAATGTCACAGTGAATCAACTACAAAATGTTTCATAAGAGAGAAATTATCCGCCACAAAACAAAGTTATTTTTCTCCAATAACGTGCAGAATGTTTAATATAACCATACAAAACAACTCTCAACTTTGAAAACTGAGACAACAAACCATCGTGGAGCCAAAACTTAGACAGCCCGCACTAAGATTCAGCGTTCAACAAACCAAGTGGTTTGGTCCAACTTCAATACACAATCCTTGTAATATTAAATATAAAATAAGGACTTTCGTCCGAACATTTCGTCAGTGAAAGATTGTACCATCACCTCGTAATATCCGGAAGTGAAGATCAACCAGCACACCACGAGAGCACCGGATAACTTTTCCACACCGAATGGTCGATTCAACCAAACAGTAGGATGAACCTCCCCCCCCCCTAAGATCTTATATATTTGCTTTTCTACCATTCAAACTTAACTATTTTAAATTCAACAAAGTATTCATCACATTCCGTGCACTGAATTTTATTATCAAACATAAATATTTTGTCTTTTACAGTGAGTTACTACTGTAGCATCCGAACAAATTTTTGTATTTACTGGATTAACACTGAGTCTGTGGATTGCTTGATTGTAATTCCTACTGTTTTTAAGTACTTTAACTGCCATTTTATTGATTTTTATCCTGCTAACGTACAGGCCGATTGTCCTAATTTTGATATTTTTCTCATGATTTGACATTGTATGACAAATGGTGATTCAGCAAATTTTGCGACTTGAATAACTGGAAACCTACCTAGCGGGTTACTCACTACAAGGCGGTCTAACGCTAAAATATATAAGGCTATTCACCCTCACGGAGTGCAGTGAGTGGCACTTCAGTATGTGTGTCAGATGTAATCCGGCTGTATACGTTAGGTTCTGCAAGGTAACATCTACTTGGTTATGCAGAATATGTTGCACCTCTGGGTTCACCCCTCTCTCGAAAGTCACGGTGGTCCTTTAAGATCACGTGGTTTCGAATAGCGACGTAAACTGGAGGTTTTATAAAAGATAATGAAAATAAAGAAGCACGGAATAATTTTTTCACCTTGTCTATCTCTAATGCCAGAGATGAGAGAGGGTCTTATAATAATAATGATAATAATAATAATTCATATTTTCATATAAACATAAATTTACATGTAACTGCATGCCATTTTTACAGGCACGATCAAGTATGATATAATATCAAATCGTAGATTGTCTACAAGTTAATAATGTTTCAACAGTTAAATATTTGATATATATACATATAATTACACTCATTGTCTGAACTAGGCCGTATAGTTATTGAATTGTACAGTTGTCCTCCAGGTTGGGCGGGAAAACCAACTTCGTTTCGTTTTCATCCCGTGGTTGTAGGCATACGATAACCAACCAATATTGAGGTAAGTACAACGTTTACAAGGGACTGAAAGCTGCTTTAGAAAAGTTAAAGTGCTAAGGTGAATCATTAAAGTGTGATAAAATAAGTAAGTGCAATATATCATTAATAAATACATTTATATAGGAAATAGAATAGGGAGGTAATTAACCCCTAGGCCGACAACGTTCATTTGCAATGTATAATAAAACCAATATATTTTGTACTATCATGATGTCCACTTTTGGCTTTAATACAATTATTTTCAAGCCAGTTGTTTTTATTTCATGCCTTTCTGTCTATTTGGTGCACAACCGTACCCTACAGAGAATAGGAATAGAAAAAGTCGAATCAAATTCATAAAGAGCTATAAAATGTTAGGCTTAATGGGACATAATGAGGACCGAGTAAAGACTTTGTTAGAAAATGAATGGGATAAGACATTGTGAAGTTGTATTTAAAGATCCGACAATGGATGGCAAGTTAATTTATAAGATGCCCCATAAATCTGTGCAGATCCCGCGTGGTCGCATCTCAACAATAGGCTGAGTGAATGGTATATGTTTAAAGGCAGAAGCATGATCTGTCTAGGCGTTCATTATTATCTTTTTCAAGATAAAGATCTAAGCCCTCAGAAAAATCTATAGCCGTCAAATTGCATATTGCTGTTCCTGCAGAATTGGGCGATTCAGCTTAGTGACCACCACCATATCTACTGATCAGCTAGCGCCACCCTCCCTCCTTGATTGACGGCTGATATTAGAAATGATTATCACAATAATGGTTCCATCTTGCGTAGTTTACATGCTACCAAATTTTCTTATTATTCCACATGCCTCAACACAATTTTGAATAAATTCAATGTTCTTCCGTCAACAGTGAGGTGGAAATAAGAGGCGTTTGCTCACCAGCTCCAGTAGGTGAGGACTTCAGGGCACCTGCATTTTGACGAAAATTTATTTGACGTCTCACGCCGTTACATGGTAATATGTATTGATGCTGTTATTGTTTAACAGAACCACTAATATTTCGGAGAGTAATAGACTTTCCCCTGCGTTTGGAGTATTTCGCGGCAGCGCGCGTCTCACCGAAAAGTTATCGGCTAAATAGTAGAGCACAGAGACCAGTTTCTTCAGTTCAGATCATAGCCAAATAAACTTAATCACCACAGTCCTTAACCTTGCCCGGCAGCAACCACACTAGTTCTAACCACACCGCGGAAAAGATTACCAGCAGACGTACGAGGAAGGCTACTGCGAAAGCTTCAATGGAAAGGTAAAATTTGGGACCTTTTGATGTACCTCCAGGATTGCACCAAGTACCTTTTTTGTGTTTTTATATCATGGCTGTGGTCTGAACTTGGCTAATGATGAGGTCAAATCTAGCTCTAGAATGGATTTATATGAGCCTAGGCAAAAGCAATAATTGGTATTTCATGAGATTCAGGCCATAGAAATGCAATGTCTAGAAAGGGAACTGGGTGTCCTGAACATGAATGACAGTTTAAAACAAGTTTCTTTGTGAAAAGATGATAGGCGATAGAAGGACCCTGCTTACTGACGCAATAAGATGAAGACCGGTCGTGCCTCTAAAAGATCTAATATATTTGATAATTATGTCACCCCTCATAGTCAGTCCAGAGCTGTCAAAGTCTGAACTAAGCTCGTCTGGTGGACAGCTACCCAAGTATTGGAAGTTTATTAGACGGCTTGAGCTTTATGCGGTGTCCAAGGATGATGGGCAGCGCTTCTTAAATATGTTGCATTATTGTGAAGACAAGGCCAGGTGAGTCATCATAGGGTACATCACGGTCCCACCTTCGTCCGCATATTAGCCATGCTTCTCAGAATAACGCACGAGGTGATCAGGAAGTTGCTTGAGGAGATGATGGAACACAGGACGATATAAAGCGAATGTTGTGAAGCCATTTTGAGACTCGGTGCAAAATCGGAGTACCGCTATACAGCTTTTGACCAGATGAACTATTCAAGAGATATGAACATCTTGAGAACTCCGGAATCTACAGTCCACTAGTCTGCGAATAGGGTGGGCAGAAACAGTCGAAGATTTTACAGAGAACGGTGGTGAACCAACGTTTTATGAGTTTACGCAGCTTGTATCCGCCGGCGCAAGCATTTAATTAGGTAGATTTGGAAATGGGCCACAGCTAACTGAGAGAAAAATAGTAAGGTGTCCTGCTGTATACAACACTTGAGGTCGACTGGGACTGACGATCCTAATAGGACAGACAAAAGACTTGATGAAGTGTGCGAAGGTCATGTAAACATTAAATCTTCGAAATTCTTTGCACTTTCTGCTGGCCGAAGGCCAATAGGAAAAATGAGGCATAATTGCTCAAAAAATGATGCATATTGACAAGAAAATGCTTGAAAACGCATGAACTTATCAACCCATCACAACACGGATTCCTCAAAAAGAGATCATGTGTGACCTGTCACATAGACTTTTTCAACGAAGTTACACGAAGCAGAGAACTAGTAATTGTGCTATATTTGATATAACAAAAGCCTTCGATAGAGTCCCCCATAATCTGCTAGTCAGCAGGTTATGCTCACTAGGGATATGTGACCCTCTCCTGAGCTGGATAAAATCATTTCTCTGTGACAGGAATCAGATAACAAAAGTTGGCTCGATAATCTCAAGGCCTAAACCTGTAAGTAGTGGTGTAATCCAGGGAAGTGTATTAGGCCCACTCCTATTCATAATATATATAAACAGTATCTGTGAATGCTTTAGTGTTGGTAAACCAATACTATATGCAGATGACTTAAAAGTGACCTATAAATGCAAGAACACAGATCTCGGAATAACAGTAAACGCCATACAGCAAGAATTAGAAAAAATGGATAGATGGTGTGACACCTGGCAACTCCAGTTTAATGTCGACAAATGTGGCTGGCTCTGCATAGGTTGCAACAATTTAGAACTTGACCTGACAATTCAAGGCCATGCACTTTACGACTGGAATCTGTATTGGACCTAGGACTGAAATACTCACATGACTTATCATTTTCTGAACATATCTCCAAACAAGTGTCAAAGTCACGCAGACTTATCGGCTTTCTACTCAGGAACTTTTACAGAAATGAGTCCAGAATTCTGTTGTACAAGGTTTGTGTGCGTCCTTTATTTGATTACTGTTCATTCATGTATAGTAGTATACGCATAGAGGACAAATTGAAAGTCGAGGGAGTGCAGAGGTACTTCACGTCAAAATTACTCGGAACCGAAAATGGTGCGAACTACTCCACTAGATGTGACACCCTAGGATTAGAAACACTATGGCTAAGACGCCTGAGACTAAACTTAACACTTTACTATAAGCTTCTAAACCACTTAGTTTTTACCTCTACTAATGGCATTCGACTTTCAGATGACAGTGGCTACAAACTAAGACACACTAAGGGTACAGTAGCTATCGAACAATGTAAAACAGCTACCAGGCAAAAGTTTTACTTGATTAGGTATGCACAGATATGGAATAAACTACCAATGGAAATGCGTCAAGCAGGTACATTGGCCTCATTCAAAAAAGTGCTTAACGACAAACTACAAGAGTTTGCAAACGATAGTAGTCCTAGTTCCTATCTGAGAGCCTCCGAAATTATAGGTCCATTTAATGTATAAGCTTAAATACTACACCTGTTGTTTTTTGCCTATATTTATAATTTTAGATAAAACATTAACGATTAAGATACTTACCCTCAAACAGACAAGAAGTTTCGTTTGTAAAACTTCTACCCAACACAATAAGTGGAATAAAATGGACATAAACCGACAACATGAAAAAGGTTATAACTCACCACAACATCACATGGACAGATGTACGCTCGTCGGGCATCTTATATACCTCACCAACCACAACTCAACTTTCCTAAGATAATGTGATGAACTTATATCCGTAATGTTGCTGAGCAGTCAATATCCACAACTCCTGTCGGAACAACTAAAATTCAAAAACCCTCCTCATGAGAAGTAAATACCCACAAGCAGTAGAAATCCATTAATTAATGCGTCCAAAGCTTATGTATTTTGCTCCCAACAATGACATTGCAGATCAAATGAGATAAGCAAATCACTGATTTCCAAATAACACAACAATGAACTATAATTCAAGAATTCTGTACACAACAAAATTATGTATGAAAACTGACTTCAAGCTTTATTTTTTTTCCCAGGCACTTATAACCCATCCACCAAAGACCTGGTTTTTTTGTTAATGCGAAGACAATACTTCTGTATTTCCTGATGTGTTGCACTCACTGACAATCTAGCGGATTTTTCCAACTATGCACAGAAATGATTGTACATAAGTGAAAAGGATGTTTTATACTATTGGGATTAACATTTATCAAGTGTATGTATAATCTCCAGTGTACATGTTAAACATATTTTGCTATCGACTGTAAATTGTGACTGAATAATATGGTCCTATTTCTGTAACAATTTGATGATGCCTGTAAACTGGCGTCCCTCATGTACTGCATCATGAGAATAAATTTATTTATTTATTAAACAGGTTAACTTCCTCTGACATGGCTTAAAAATACGTTCTAGTTGTGAAGAGGAGTATCAGTTGCTAAGTTATGCTACTTTCTGCACAAATATTAAACGAGATGACTACAGATAAACTGTTTTTGTGAATCGTTTATCTCTCTCTTTCCGCTTGCAGCTTTCCAAAAAAGCCCTCGGTTGAATTATTATGCTTTCCAGACAGAGGATAGACGACTACTTACCATGAAAATGTGGATAATAAAAAATTAAAATAAATGACATCAACTATATATCTATCCCTTATCGTAACCATAAGCTTAATCCTGACCCTAACACTAAACCTATACTTAATCCTAACCCTGATCATGACCCTTATTCAAACCGTAATTCCAATAGTAGTATCAGCCATAACACATCTCATGCTACAAACCACATACAATAAATATCAGCACTACTCTTCCTGAAGTCAACCAAAGCAACGACAGTCCAGTGACAGGATGAGCTACACAGAAGTTTACCGAAGATCAGGAACCTATATCTCATAACCAAGAGGTGAGCATAAAGAAATAAAATTGGTTTATACTAGCTCATAAAAACGATATTGGATATTGGGACCCCAATGCTAATTTATAACCCTGATCCTAATCCTAACGAGCTATTAACACGTTGTCCAAACAGTACTTAAAAACGTGATCCGGGTGAAACTTGCTCCTTAGATGTTCAACAGCTTTGATATTTCAGCCGTGATAGTGACAGATGCCGCTGACTGACGATTAGCATGCACTCGTGGTTATTGGAGCGTTAACACTTGGGACGCTATTGTTAAACTTCGCCCAATTCAGACAACATATAACACAATATTATTAAAACTTATTGACAAAAAAATTTCCAGACGAAATTTCAACTCAACATGATACATATGTCCAGCTTAAAAAATATGACTGTTTTTTCAAAGACCCGGCCGCGCGTTCTGAATTCTGAGATTACATCTTTTTTCAAGGTCGCGCTCCATTTTCTTCTCTTGTGCACTTGCTACTCGTTTTGTTACAGTTGGTGTTCTATCCGCGCTATGCCTCACAAGCTTTCTAACCTAAAGGTTTCAGAACTTAGAGAGTCATCGAAGTACATAAGACCATATCGCATGAGCTTTAATCAGGTAAGTACCAAAACCTACTGTAATGCTGAATTGATTCTTACTAATTCTGAAATAATTCTCTCATTCTACAGTGATTAAATTCTGAATCTGTTCTGAAATGGATTTTTATTGATACAGACTAGAACTCAGCGTTAGTTTTCATCATCACTGGCATTAATTCACCACCCTGTTCTTTTCTCTAGCCATTTTCAGAAGTAGATCAGAACCTACTGGGTTTGCTCATTAGCGTTGTTCCAGCCATCACAGGAAATATTAGGCATGGGCTAGCGTTACTTCAGAACGAAAAGACTCAATTCAGCACACAGCTCTCTTTTTAAACAACCAGCGTTATTTCAGAACATAGTGGGTAGATAAAATCTTCATTTACCATAAAAAGGCATTATAGAATAATAGACCGGGTTATAACCCAGTCAGTCAAGCTTCATATTCGGCCAGTTACATTTAATACAACTGTCGATCAATGATAAATTAACTCACCATATGAAAAAAATAATACTTCGACTTATCCATAGGTAAATGAATATCGATGGCTTTCTTAGTGAAAAAAGCTCACTGTGAAAAAAAGTGTTTGGCACCGTGTAAACACCATTATTTTACGTGTATTTTGTAATGAGTAATAATAAATGTTCAAAGGCAAATTTTTCATCATTACTGAATTTTTGTACATACATTTTAAATTTACTCTTTCACGAGCGAAAACTCTGATATTAGATATTAATACATGAAATGACAGTTATGCAGCAGACTTGGAATTATTAGTTATAGCTCCACTGAATGAAATTAAGAATGCCAAGGTGAAGAAAGTTGTCGTTTCGCGCAGTATGAACTAAAACATGTTATTTAGTGCGAATGTTTAGACTACGGGTCCGTAGTATATCTTCTCATTTCGGAAAATAAACTCCAGAATCCTATTCAGGTTACTCGGTCTCAGTGTAGGGTAATGGTCATGTCATCTTGTCGCGCCTGCATGTGGTTGTTGCATAGAATGAACCAACCAAGGACCGAGCAAATTGTCGTTTGGGTTTCATTGTTTTGTAGTCAGCTTTAGCTGTCTTAATGTATGGATTACGCTGCATTATCCTCAATCGTATTGCATTGTCTGTTTATAGGATGGTCAACCGCGTACATGGGATGGCATTTTAGCACACGACAGGTTAGTCGGCTTATTGAATTTCTCAATTTAGTACAGTGTGTCAATACTTTTGTATCATCCAGAAAAGAAGTCTCTAATTTTTGTCAAACAGTTCCGCCCAGGTGGGTCGAAAGTTTTACACTTTCGTTGTGCATAATCGGTGATTCAGAAACACGCAATAGGCTATTCACTCACCTATTACAGAATTATACCAGTCTAAGTCAACAAATTAGTCACTTAGTTTTAAACCATCACCTGCTTATGTTCTGTTAGTAAATTACCATTATTCGTCTTCGTATTAGGTAGTGTAAAATACTACGTGCATCAACGCAGAACTCCTTACTAGGTTGTGCTGAAATTTATAGCACGTTACAATATAAATTATCCTTTTGAACACTAACATGATTAATATTTGTGGACTACAACAGGTGCTTGCAGTCAAATAAATATGATCCATTTCCGTTAGTGAAATGTAAATTTTGTGACCAAAATTGTTGTAGCAATGTAGCGTATCACTAGTATCCTAGTAATCCGTTAAGTATCATCTGATGATTCGAAACCATCAATATGTGGGCAAACAAAAATATTTAGCTGACATTTTGACGATTTATATAGGAACTAAGGGAGTGGTCTCAAAAAGACTTATTGTTAATCATATCGGTCGGGTCTGAGGACAAATACTCGCCTAGGACATTGACTAGTGGTCGCGCTGTCATGAATTGGCAGAAGTTAGAATTCATGGGCTGGCCAGTGGTTTAATGGTCTACGAGCTCGCCTTGTAACCAGAAGGTGCTGGGTTCCAACCCCTTGTGGTGGGCGCGTAATGATGAAGAGACCCGAACCAAAACAAAACGGCTGTCCAGTGCCCCCTGCAGGTTTTCCAGTGGTTTTCTAACTAATATCCGCTCATGATGAAGTCCTATAACAAATCAAATTTAATTACAAAATATTGATAGTTTGAGTGTTCAATATTTGCCGAAGATATACTGCCAGGTTTTACCTTATAACCATGCTGTAACTTTACTTGACTGACATGAGTAAAGTGTACAGTAATTACTTGAGCATTTTGTTGACTCGATATGATTCTGAAGGTAACCGAATCAGTGTGCATTTAGCGTGTTTATTTCCTCATACTATCCCTGAGCACTTGCTATATAAGTCCGTAGGTCCTCGTTTGTTACAGCGTAATAACTTCAACAGATAAAATGAAACAGAAATGTTCGACCCCATAAGCTTTTCACTTGATAGGTTCCTCAAACAGACTCAACAATAGTTCTATTACATATAAACATCATCCGTAGCTGTATTCAAGCATGTTTCTCCCTGTAACTGTGTTCACGAAAAGCTAATAGCCCCTTCTGGAGTACGTCATAAAACATCGAACTACCTAGTGTAAATAGTAACATAGTGTCAGCTGTTAGCACGCCTCTGGCTCCATTTACGTACCGTTATCCACCAACCATTTTCCTAATCACTTCCTAAATTTTCTTCAGTCGATTAGAAAATTTATCTTTAACTTCCTGTTGTACCTCTTTCACTAACAATTTGTGTTTTAGAAGCTGCACTTCCGTAGTTTTCATTCTACATTAAATCGCAAAAAAGTCGACAGCCAAAACTTTAACAACCTGCACTCTAGACTGTAACCGTGTTTGTAAGGAATGCATACAGGATGTGTCGTCATTTGCTTGACCACACCTGATCATGTTGGTTGAGTCTTCGATAAACCAATTTTCGGAACCTTCGTTATGAGTGTAATAACATGTGATCATAATTCTGTTGATAATCTTGTGTGCGTCATTCAGCTAAATAATACTATCCGAAATAGCATTAGAGCAGAAATGGATGCCCTTTTATAGCACCTAGCCCTTGGCGACTTTTCTATAATTGGCATTATGATTTTGTGAAATGATATGATTAGTACAAAAGCCCCGTATAAAACCCTTGGTAAAATGATCAAGTCAATAGAGAAAGTTATAAACCTCCATGACCTAACATGACTAAGACATCTGTAGCTGGTGCTTAGCCACAGTCTCCCCTGTCTTCTTGTGTCGGCGAAATTTGAGTTAGGCTGCAAGAAACAAAGCAGTAGACACACCAAGACATAATACAAATCAGTAAAGTCATTGACTATCCTGAATCATGTGGTGAAGATTTCCAGGTAAACACGCTGACAAAATCCAGTCTTATCAACTCTATGAGCAAATATCTGTGTATGCTTGGTATATGATTCGCTTCTATCAAGTTTAAGATAGTGCGACATAACTGGTTTGGATTGACACGTAGTTTAAAGACATAGTGAAATGATCGAATCAGTTCACCACCTATCTAGGAATTTACCAAACCTGTTTGCTAACGAAATCTTAGCACGAATACAGAAATCTGTAAGCATTCTTCTACTTGTACTGTGCGTGGTACTAGAAAAGTATGGAGCTGTTCACCAAAGTGTGTGCGGTGCATAGCAGTTACCTGCGTCCTACTTAACGATTGTGAGATGTAGTTGCTGAAAGTAGTAAAACTGAAAAGTGGTTTTCGATCATAGGTGCTTTCTCTCAAACCAGATGGAGCAACCTACTAAATCATGTTGAGGTTTTACAGTGTTAGGCGAGGAAAGTGAATTTACTGATTAGGCTGTAAATCTGTATCGATTGAGCTTCCTTAATGAACCACGCCGGTTAAAGTAGGTTAAGGTTAGAAAAGAGTTAGGGTTGGTTAGACTGATAGATGGTATTTTTCCATAAAATCAGTGAATATTGGTTTGAACCGTGTAGGGAAGTACCCATTGCCAGTTTGGGGCAATCGGAGAGCTAGGAGTCAGTGATTGGAAACAATTAATGATTTGACTAATAATCATTGTATTCACTCTTTATCACTACAAATACCGCAAATCTGCGTTTACTTGTTCTCCTTGTTATATTCATGTTCCTCCATCGTAGAATCATTCTGTTTTTGTTCCCTTATTTTGCGCGCTTTTTGAAGTATGGATACTTGGACTGATGCATTTTTGTGTGGAATTCTGCTCTGATTTGTTATTCAGTATCGAGGTGTAGTTTATGTCCTTGAATCCCACGGATCTACAGAGGCCTATAACTAGAGACTGGACAATTAATGACCGCAATGACGCATATGCTTTCACACTGTTTTAACGTAAATTAAATACCATATCGTTGTTTATTTTTTTGTTTCTTTGTGTCATCTTGATCCACTTGGTGTGTAAACATGAGGTGTAGCAACTGCAGCCCTTATATAGTAAACTACTTTCTCTGTCCGTAGCGTCATTCCTTATATTGGTATAGGCAGTTAGTCAGTGACCATGGATTAGTACCGTTCCTCAACCTAATGGGCAATATGTGTGCATAACAGTTCTCTCAGTTTCTTTAAATATAAAGATTCCACCGAAAACGGCTGAGACTACGATTGATAAATATTTGTGGCATTCATAGATCTACTTCTAATTGTTGTGTCACAACCATATACTAGGCTAGCTGAAACTGTTGTTCAGTATACCAGTGAAAACTGCTTCCTATCAATATTCAAAGCACTCGAGCAGACAGTGGATCCATAGTCTCGATCTTGAAATGCTTAGCTCACTGATACAGTCATAGATAGGTGGTTTACAGGCTGTAAAAGTTACACAAGTGACTTCTTTTCTTGACATATATTTGATATTTGCTCAAATAATTTAAGGTGATATACAGTGTTTAATGTGTTTTTGTTTCTACAGTTGTGTATTATACAAAGTTGAGACAACTTGGAGTAATACCTAGTGTTGCTGACGGGACAGTTGAAAGTGTTCAAACTGATCTTCCTTCTGGTGAAATTGGCGAAACTTTAGAGTTATGTGCTGGATTAATTGATGGAGTACAAACTAACCCTAAGTCTTACGCTGTTCAAGAAGTCTTAGAAGAATGTGGTTTTAAGATTAGTGAAGAATCTTTGAAATTGGTCAATTCATTTTAGTAAGTAACTTATTAAAATATAATGACATAATATAATACAGAAATTTTCTTTGGTAACATAAGTGAAACAAGCCACTTCAAGTCATTCAACATATTCAGTAAATTTTCAAGTATTGGTTTTGTAGGGATTTCGTTTGATTGTATGGAGGATTTCATGAGCTGATATCAGTTAGAGAACCACTCGAAAACCTGTACCTAGCAGTAAAAATCAAGATTCATTGATGAAATCTGTGTGAACTCTTATTTGTTTGCATTATCTTACACCAAACAGATATGTAACCACTCAGGACATGATTATAAAAACTTCAAACAATCCTTTTGATCTGATTGAATTTGAGATTTTCCCGTCGATTGATTGGACCGAAGTGCTCGGTCTCAGGTTGACATGTCAGTTTCTTGTGCAGATGCTTCGACGATGTCTGGGCACTTAATTAGTATTTAATTGATGGATGGTGACTAGCTTTGGCGTTTGAAAATATGGGCACTGGGTTCGAGCCTCGGCGGGAACATCATCACTCACTGAGAAATGCAGGTACATCCGGATGAAGAGTCCCGAATAGGACGAAATGCGCATCCTGGATTCCGCTGCTAGTCATCATCCACCCATAAAGGTCCTTTTGATCGTTTGCTGCTCTGTCTGTCTGTTTTCGACATAGAACTTTGCACATATGTGCGGCAGTTCAAGTCGCCACACTCCACGTAGCGCACAAAGCAAAAGAAGAAAGTAGAAGAAATGCATAACAGAGACAGTAAACAGAGGTGTGAGACAAAGGAATAGTAATAACGAAGAACAATATAGTTTCATTGGAAATCATAAGTCACAAGGAGTGGATGCATCTGCGCTAGCCATTGAGAACGATTTTGAGCCATATCACCAATTGTTTCCAACCATCGGTGTTGACCGTCCCAAGGACCCCAACCAGTCAGGAAGTCTACACCTTCCCACGTGGTTTAGACTAACTACTGTGGATTTCATTGACTGGTGCCATGTTTTGGTTTGACCGCCACTAGCTCTTTTCCAGCCTGACCCATCCTATGTCAGCTAACATTGCCCATCAGTCGAGGAAGGCGATGACTAGGCATACGTAACACATGTTCTAACCATCTCAGTCGATGTAATTTCACACCCTCGTCGATTGATTTCCTCTTCTTACCTAGAACTCGACGCCTAACCTCAATATTGTTCACCTTATTATACCACTTCACACGGGAGATAGAACGCAGGCAGCTATGATCGAAGACATCTAATCTTTCCATGTCTTCCACTTTCAATGACCGGGTCTCACAGACATAAACGAGGACTATAGAACTGTTGGGAAGTATACACGCCCTTTGGTCGATAGTCAGATATCTCGTCTACGCCAGAGACGGCGTAAACTGGCATATGCCAAACTAGCCCTCTGTATCCGTGCTGAGATTTCGTCAGAGATCAACCCGTTGGGGGTGATGCAACTTCCCAAATAAGTGAAGCGGTCAACCAGCTCTACCACTTCACTCCCTATTTCTAAACTAGGAGTCAGTGTAGTCCAGTCCTGTAACATCATCTTGCATTTGGCGGGAGCGAATCGCATGCCAAACATTTGTAGATTGCTGCTCAAGGTGTTCAGAAGGCTGCATTTTGTGAGCGTCTTCGCCTAGAAGTACTATATCGTCTGCATATTCTAAGTCAACGAGATTATTCCCTGGTAGCAAGTCAATCCCTGTGTGTCTGAAGTGAGTTATGGTTAAGTCCATTAGTACATCTATGATGAAGTTGAATAGGAATGGGGATAATGGGCATCCCTGCTCAGCTCAACAATAATGTACTTGGATCAATAGTTCAAATCATACAATTTTTCAGATACAATTTTTCCGTGATACTTAGTGTTCTACTCAAGGAAAATCAATAGTGAGATTTCATTTTATTTTTTTTAATTTTTGATTACAGCTTGATTCCACACCATATTTTTGGTACAAGTATGGAATTTTCAGCATGGATATCGGTAACCCAAATTTCGCAGGCCGACCATAGATATCAGGTGTGCGTCGGCGTGGGCTCGAACCCCGGACCATGTGCGTGGTTGGCGAGAGTCCTAACCACTGTGCCACCGACGCATACTTAAGTTACATCTATATTTAGTAATTCGATTATGATCTGAAGTAAATTCTTAAAGTAAATTAGAATATTAAGAATTCTTATCATGATTACAGTTTACTTTCTAAGAAAGTAGTCATCAGCGTGCATCAGTACTGCATACCTATAATAAATAGGTGAACAAATAGATGAAATGCATAAATACTAATCATTCTTGATTTCATTTGCATTTCAATTTAATGTTTATCTAGTTTCTTATATATTCAATATGATTTTGTGTACTTTTCCTAATACTCTATGTATTTACAAATTCTTTCTTATTTTTATTTAGTACAAGCGTTGGTTTAACAGGTAGTAAAATGACTTTATACTATGCAGAAGTAAATGAACATCAGAGAATCGCTAATGCCGGTGGAGGATTACACACAGAAGGTGAATATATTGAAGTGATAGAATGGCCAATTTCTAGAATTGATGAACTTTATCATCAAAATAATAATAATAATGATTGTACAAAACTGTCTATTTCAGTCACTTTACTCTATGCTGTATGTTGGTTTAAAGAGAATATTTTATCTACACTATCAATACCGTTAACAGCATAATAAATGAATGAATTACTTTAAAATAGAGAGGAAAAAACGAATGTAACCAATTATTTTCTATTTGTTTTTGTTTTTAGAATAAAATTATCATTTTGTGTTAGTAATAAATCTGTTATCTGGATTTCTTCTTCAGACTTTTAAACTCCTATGCATTCTAATTTTGTTAGTTTTATGAACAAGTGTACGCGGATGTTTATACATACATACATGCTCATATATGCATAAAATGTATATTATATCTATATATGTATGTATGACAAACTGTTAAACGTTTAACTTCTTAACAGATAACACATTCCTAGTACAATTTCTTTCTTTTCTTCTCTGAATAATGAATGCATGAACGATATGACAGCCTATTTCTGTACACTTCATATTGCCATTCCAAATATTGTAACAAAACAGTACATACTCTTATTCTCCCATTTAAGCGTATAATAACCTAGAATATAATAAAAAAGGTAGAAATATGAAAGAATAAATAAATGAGCTGAATGTTTTTAAAATTTTTTTTATTCGGATATGAAAATTGATTGACAGTTGAACTGATGCTCACTAGCGACTGGCCCTATTCAGGCAGTTACCTGGGGTTCTAGTGGGGAGACGTGACCGGTAGGGTACAGCAGGCTGAAGGTGAGGCAGTAACTCGCTGCGAATTGGTCGTGCTATGTCATGAATTGGCAGAAGTTAGAAATTATGGACTGGCTGGCCATTGGATCGGTTCCTGTGGCTTAATGGTCTACGAGTTCGCCTTGTAACCAGAAGGCCCTGGGTTCCAACCCTGGTGGATGCATACTGATGACGAGTCCCAAACTAAGACGAAACAGCCGTACAGTATTCCCTGCAGGTTTTCCAATGGTTCTCTAACTGATGTCAACTCATGATATTCTCCAACCAATCAAACACAAATTCCTCCGAAAAACCAGTACTTGAAAATAGGATGGTGTTTCACACACCTCAGATTTTTCCTGTGTGGACAAATCTGAAAATCATATTCCCCGCTACTTCTTTTTGGGAAAGTAGGTTCGGCATGTTAATGTGAAGATATGCAGTGCCCGATTGTCTTAAAATAAAGTTGACATGTAAACTGACACATCAAAACGGGTGTATCTTGGACAATCTGAGCATGAAAGTTAATTAAGCCATCAGCGTTAAACGTTAATAATTGTTTAGAAAAGGAAAAATTGTCCATACACTTTATCCATTGTAGAAAGTATGTAAAATTCTTCAGTGTGAAGAATCCTGTGAGAAATAACCTATTTCTTTTTAATCCTCTACTATATTAGAGTATTGATGCTTTTATAGTATACTTGCTAATTCATTTCACAACTACAGAAGTGGATTATTCAACAGGTTTTTGTCCCTCAATTGTTATATTATATTTGAAACCTGTGCAACGACGAACTCAACCATATTTTTAAGACTACATGAATTTTGTTTAGGAAAGAAGTTAAAGAATCTTTAAACTGTGACATCTGCAACAGTGACTGTGTTTCGACGTAGAAATTTTTGTGGAAGTGCATCAGTTCAAGCTACCATACAAAAGTTGAACAAAGAAAAATAAAATTGAAAAGAGCTACACTGAGCAGAAATGTGTGAGAGAAAGATTAGTAACATCGAAAAACATACAGATTTAATGAATCTTTTTTTATTACTCAGTTGTCCTATGCTGGGCTTTGAGCCACATTTATTATGTGAAGGCTAATTATACTATCCAGATACCCAGGCTAAAGTAGGCGGAGCGGGACAGAACGAACTGCTGCATATTACACATTTTCGTGTGGCCATTTGTGGCTTAGTAGACGTGATATCCGTCTGTCGACTAAGGGGCGTGTATACCTCCCAAAAGTCCTATTAGTCCTCCTCTATGGCTGTGAGACATGACCTCTGGAATTGGAAGGCATGAAAAGGCTGGCTAGCTACCTTTGATCATAGGTGCCCATGTTCTATCTCCCGTGTTAAGTGGTATAATAAGATGGGCAATATTGAGGTTAGGTAAGGGATAAGAATCAACCAATGACGTTGTAAAGTTACACCGATTGGGATGGTTAGGACATGTGTTACGCATGCTTAGACATCACTTTCCTCGACGGCCATTGTTGGCTGGTTGACATAGGATTGTCTAATGTTGGTTTTGTAGGGATTTTGTTTGATTACATCGAGGATTTCATCATGTGAAGAGTCCCAAACTAGGACGAAACAGCTGCCAGTACTTCCCGGGTTTTCCAGTGGTTCTCTAACAGACATAGGAATGATCAGGTTGGAAAAGAGCTAGTTAGTGATGGTCAAACCAAAACACGGCTCCATCAGTCAGTGAAATCCATAACAGTTAGTTTAAACCAGCCAACCAAGTAGAGAGGTGTAGACTGTGTGGTTGGTGTCCTTGAGATGGTAAAAACCAATGAAGGCTGGAGACAGTCAGCGGTTATATTGCTCAAAATCGTGCTCAATGGCTGGCACAGATGCATTCACTCTGAGGTTTGCTATATTCAATAAAATTCTACTGTTCTTCCATATTACTATTATTTTTACCTTACACTTCTGTTTACTAGCTGTCTGTGTCACAGATGACGCAGACTGGCAACTGTCACACGAGCCTCTTTTATCCGTGCTGCAATTTATTAGTAGTCAGTCGACGAGGGTCGTTGCAATTTCTCAAATAAGTGAATTAGTTAACCCTCAGGCATTTTTATTGTTTATCTTTCAGCTTGCAGTCGATTCAGACAAATCCTCTACCATCATCTTATATTTGACAGGAGCGAATTGCGTACCAAACATTCCAGTATTTATATGCATGATTTTTAGTGGACTCTTCATTTAGAGGGGCAATATCACCCACCTACCCTTAAGTGGCTAAAGTTGATTAAGATCCCACCCATTAGTACATCTATCTTGAAATTAAACATAAATGAGGACAGTGGGCATCCCTGACCGACAGTCTTAGTTGTCAACACTTTGGATGATAACTCTCCGTAGTTTCCTACACAACTTTATGAGTTCAAATGCACTGATTATTCGTGGCAACTCGAACTGCTGCACTTCGGTGCCAAGTTCTATGTTGAATCCAGACAGACAGCATTGATTAGTACAATGTACTTTCTTGATAATCCCGTCACGGTAAAAAAAAGCCACAGAACCTATTGGTCGACCGATTCGAACGCCGCCATCGGATTAAGAAATATGGCGCGTGTTGGACGCCAGTAAGCATGCATGTGCTCCAGAATCTGTCGAAGGGTGAAGATATGATCAATACACTATCTTTCTGACCTAAATCCTTAGTGGTTTTCTGAGGTTTGTTTCTCCTGAACACAACTTATTTCGCATATGATTATTGAATTTAGAATTTTAGATACCATATTAATCTAACTAAATCCTCTATGATTATCACAGGAAGACTTATATCTCTTCTTTTAAAGTGAGATATTCAATGATTTACACCACTCCAACGAAAATATCTCCGGCTTCCAGGCTTTACCTAGTATCTAAGTTAACTCAAACAACAGTTTGTTATCACCGTTCTTCAGTGTCTCTGGAGTCATTCCGCCAGGCCATGCTGTTTTGCCTTGTTCTAAGTTCTTCGTTATTCCTATTCCTTTGTCTCACACCTCTGTTTACTGTCTCTATTATGCATTTCTTCTCTTGCTTTGTGTACTGCATGGAGTGTGGCGACTTAAACTGCCGCACATATGTGGAAAGTTCTATGTCGAAAACAGACAGACAGTTCTAGGTTGAAAACAGCCTCAGCTGTCGAACAGTTACTCAGAGGAAGTAGATATCACAGTAATTTTGATCAATAGTCATTTTTTGTATTCAAATCAAGTAAATTTAGCTGTACGATTCCTGTTGTGGTGAATCTTTTGAGTATCTTTGATGAAAGAAGTTGGGTAATATTAGTAAAGAAAGTCAATTATATGCACTTTTTTGGCGTCTGACTGTAGTTATTTCATTTTATTTATTTATTTAAATTCTTTTAGTTGTTCGGTAAAGTATTAGTGACATTCGTCAGTATATTGATATCAAACCTAACATTTCATATTCGGAGGAATGGAGGAAATAACAGAGGGTATTAAATTTTTCAACTTCATAAGAGATGTTGATTAGTCTGAAGTAAATTATCTCGAAGAGGTTACCCCTAATTCCAACGATATTCCCCCAACAACTGTTTACTTTGCATTCTTCGTAATTCTACCACCCTAAATTAGCTAAAAATGAGACATAATCCGTTATGTTTATTATTATTCCCTTGGGTTCCGAGTGAAACATTGGGCTTCAACAAAACATTTCCACTTTCTTCTATTTTCTGCCATCCTCTTCAGATGGGTCCACAATTGCCATGATCTCTCATCTCTCCGTCACATGATCTCCTCCATGTCACCCTTGCACTGACGACCCACTCATCGCTACCCATTTGCATTCCACTTGAGCAATGGACTACCGATGGCGCGATGTCATTCGACGGCCTCCTCAACGTATGCCCAATCCATCTCCGTTTTCCCCTACATATTTGTTGAGCGATCGGCTCTTGACTGGTTTGTTTCCATAGTATCTTGTTGCTTATTCTTTTTGACCATTTGATCTTCAGTATGGAGCCGGTGAAGGTCGCAGCTGTTGATGGAAGTTTGCAATGGCCTGTTGGAAATCCCTTCCGTGATACGCAGTACAAGTTTCTGACCCGTACACAAGGACTGACTTCACATTTGTGTTGAAAATCTGAATCTTGTTGTTTATGCTGGCTGAGTCAGTGCAGAAGATTTCCAAACTGATTTCAGAATGATGAAGGTGAATTCTACCTTTCCAATTCCGGTTACCTTTGACATCTTTATCCATTCGAGCTGGCTGCAGTTAAAACAGTACTTCCTAGATGAGTAAGGGAAGTAACCTCTGTCAAATCTCTCCCGTTAATGGTGATTGGTACTGATTGTTGTTGCTGTTTGTGGTGGTTGATTATATTCATCAACTCCGTCTTCTCTATGTTCAGCTGGAGTCCTGCCTTTGATACCTGCCTCTTCTGCCGGTTCGTTGGTTTTCGTCTGTAGGTGTTCTAGTTTGTGTGACATTAAACATAAATTATCTGAGGAATCCAGATCTTCTAGAGTTTCTATATCGGTGGTCCAATGTATTCCTGTATCCTTGCTCCCAATGCACGCATGATCTAGTCCACCACAGTCAAGAATGTCATAGGTGGTAATAGACTGAAAGCCTTGTCTTACTCCTGTATTCATTCATTTCGAACGCCTCACTGAGTTTTCCGTTGTGGATCACCTGACACGTGGCATTGTCACGTAGCCAGCTGTTGAATGAAGTTGATAAAGACTTGGGCACTGCAGGCCGTAATGCTGAAGTAGTTTCCAAATTACTTCTCGGTCAACGCTGCCTGGTGAAGGCCTTTTCGAAGTCGATGAAGTTGAGGCGGAGAGAGGTTTGACTGCCATTCTTTTTTAGGCTGTGTTTGATGACGATGCGTTGAGTTGCAGTCTGATCGGCACATGATTTTTCATTTCTGAATCCAGCTTGTTCCCGGCAGTAGGGAGGAGTTCTGTCTTCAGTGCATCTTTCATTCTCTCAAGGATTGCGCGACTTCGAATATATGTCATATGTTAATGCTTAACGTGTTTACTGCCAGACGCATTTATACGGAAATATAGCATCATTTCATGAGATCTGTGACTGAGTCGTGTAGGTTTGCGAGATCTTCCAATCTGTTGCTTGCCAACTTTATTACTCATATTCTTAAAGCAATCTAGTTTGCTATTCTAATTTTTTCTTTTAGTATCGATTCTACCAACCTTTTATGTGTCGCAGATAACTCAACCACCCAAAAGAAGAGAAGTTAACAAGACAGTCCTTACTTTAGACGTTTTACCATTCTGACAGATAGCAAAACTGGTTATATATATATATATATATATATACATATTTTTTTCCTTCACGTTCCCAGTGGAACATACGGCCTCAAGGTGGCGGCTTGAAGTTTCTGTAGCAGGGTTTATTTTACAGGATGGGGTTGCTAGCCTCATGCCCAACCTTTCCTCTTTACCAGAATTATTTCTGGCTTAGCGAAGTAAAGCAGTGCGTCGGTGGCCGGGGATCGAACACCGGACCACGTGCATGGTTGGCGAGCGTCCTAACCGCCGTGCCACCGACGCATATATATATATATATATATATATATATATATATATATATATATATATATATGGCCCGTACTGTTAACTAAGATCTCTGTAATAACAGACACGTAAACCAATATTGCACTGGTGTACTTTTGTAAATACTTAACACTCTAGCAGTACAAGTGTATCCATTTAGAAACTGATTCATATTTTCTGGATACTGGATTAATACTAAAACTTTATAAAATAATACTTCATGTTGAAATCTTTTTCATGTGTTGCTTAAATGTATTTTGTTTTCATTTGAAAAACAAAAACTTTTCATGAGAAATATAACTCAATGGGATGAATTAATAATACCAGTTGAACCTCTTCACAAAAGACCAATTCAATTACTCAGTCTAAATACAAATGGTTTAGTCCAATTCATGTGGAAGTTTATGACTCATTTCTCCAATTATTTGTCAAGTACTGACTGGCTTATTTCTTTTCGTCTCTAGTGGAACACATATCTTCAAGCTTGAGCTTTGAAGTCCAGTAGCGGCGTTGATTTTGCACAGTGAGGCTACTAGCTTCACGGTCAATTTTTTCTCTTTCCCATTGATCGCTATCGGTTAATAAACTAGAAGAGGTTTAGGAGTTTGTTGGCTGGATATTGAACTCCAGGTGACGTGTGTGGTTGCCGAGCATTCTACCAACGCATAAACCATGGGCCAAGTTGAGATTCAGACCTGGGACTACTTGCTCTCAGTGTGAGTATCATACCCTTAAACTACTAGGCAGTATCTTCCTCGAAATGAGTAACCCTGAGATTGGCTGTAGCTTGTAGACGGAATATTAGAATTTATTTACTACGCTAACTTAGTTTTACCATATTCTTTTATGCATTTTTGAACTTTATGCATGCCTTAATGTGTTTGTAATTCATTTTTTGCGTTCCAAGTGAAACATAGGTCATTAAGTCTTAGTTTTCAAGTATCAGAAGCAGTGATGCTACCAGCCTTACACCAAAGCTTCCCTTTTTTTTACTGGACTGCTAGGCGAGGTTTGGGAATGCGTCGGTCGAGAATTGAACTTGAGACACTCGGGTAGTTGGCGAGCACTGAACCATCTATGCATGCGTAAATGTGTTGTTATACATCAAGCACCAATAAATTATTTCAATTTATTTACAGTAAATAAATGAGTTTATTCAACTAACCATCAGTTGAAGCATCCCAATAACAAGCACTTGCTGCCTGTAATCCTGCGCCATTTTTCTGCATCAAAACACACGAAACTGTAAATTATTTAGAAAAAAAAGAAAAGAAAGTAAGAAAGAAAATTCACATATTATTACACTTCACAGAATATTTACCCATATATTTGAAAGGTCTATTCAATCTTGCTAATTGTGCAATCGACTGTTCAGTAATTATACCAGTCCATTTTTTAACCATGTTTGAAGTGTATTCAGCATTACCAATTACTGATGTGATAATCTTTATATGAAGAAGGAGAAAAGCGGGTGGGGTGGGGGGTTCTGTAACAATTTTTATACAATAAACATACTTCTTTAACCAGAGCACATGCTTCAATACTATTGAATGCAGCTTGTTGCTGTAAAAGAAAAAAAACCACATATAAGGATACTATTGAAATGTGTCATATTACGTGTTGTTAAAATCTGGGAGCCTTAGGTAGGAAAAATATTTTTGTGTACAATATTATTAATACTAATATAGTCTACAGTGCATTCTGACAATTAACATGATATAAAATCAATAAATTCAAAGCGGAAAGGTTAATAAAGAATATTCGTTACAGGATTCCATCAGTTAGAGAAACATTGGAAAGCCTGCAGGGAGTAATGGGCAGGTGTGTTGTCTTGGTTTGGGACTCCTCAACAGCAGGCACTCACCAACCAACGGGATTGAAACCCAGGACCTTCTGGTTACAAGGCCAGCTCGTAGACCATTAAGCCACGGGGACCGATCCAATGGCCAGTCAGTCCGTGAATTCTAACTCCTGCCAATTCACGACATAACGCGACCACTAGCCAATGTCTTCGGCGAGTATTTGTCCTCGGACCCGACCTCCTGTACTCTACTGGTCATGACTTTCCAGTAGAAACCAAGGTAACTACCTACCCAATGAAAACCTGTGACCAACCAATCAAATCCCAATAAACCAATACTTGGAAGAATATTCGTTTTGTAACTTCTCATCACAGCTGTACAGTTAAATAGTGTTTCTACAAGGTTATTGAAAATACCTATAGAGATCTATTGTTAATACAAGTTGATTATCGATCATTATGTAAACAGTCATTTATACAATCCAAAGGTGTTACCGCTTCCATATACTATACTTTATGTACTCATTGAGTGGCTTTAATACAGTGGACAGAAGAAGTGTCTGCAAAGTTATCTATCGTATCCCGTCGGACGGTATTAGAATCCGCCTGTTAAACACATAGTCGAAGTTAAGGGAATTCGAGAGAACAGTCCTAGTTTTTGCATACAAAAGAAGTTTGTTCTACCCTTTTATATCCTCTGGCCTAGTTATACTTCAATTAAAAACTTCCCAAACTTCCTTATTTTCCATTTCCTTATTGCTTTTATGATATTCATCTAAACTCTGATTATCTGTCCACTTCACCTTTAGTATTACATGACTTTTAAGATTTGACATAATGAATTTATTGAATTGTCTACATATAAACATATTACTACCTTCGTTATTTTTATCGCTATCTGCATAAACTTCTTTCTGACAATTGCCAGATAGCACGAAACTTAGGTCCAAGGCTTCCTGCTGATTCCCTCCAACTATCTAATATAAGCTCCTTGTACTTTTGTTAACGCTGACATTGTTATTATTTCATTCATTCTTTGACATAAAACTGGTAGAAATGTTTTCTACATTTAAGGGGTTAAATATCAACTGTTTGGGAGAAGGATAAGACCACATACACAAATATTGTTTCTATAGTTGGGTGACTTCTTAGTTTAACTGATTCAGTTTCAACTGAATATTACAACTACAGTGAAAAACATAAATTTGTTACTGATATACTTTGAAAGGGATAAATAAGTAGTCCTATAGTTCACAGCATACATCACTGGTTCAGTGGTAGGATGCTCGTCAACCACGCACGTGATCCCGGATAACATCTTCGGCCGACGCACTTCTAAATCTCGTTAAATCGGTAGTTAAGAAGATGAAGAGAGTAAGTTGAGCGCCAGACTAGCGACCTCTCTGCTCCTGAAAATTCGAAGCTCTAGCATGAAACCTTATGTTCCACTCGGAACGTAAAGGAGTAAAATTAATATAAAAATAGTTTATAGCATAAATTTAGAACAAGCTGTTTGCATTCAGTATACCCAGATTTGGAGGTATATTAAGAATTTGTGGAAAGATGGGGAACTCTATCAGTTCTGACCCATGAGAATAGTACTGAACATAGCGTTTCACTTGCTCACTTCAGAAAAAGAGCATTGCAAGCTAGTCAAATGCATATCATTTTCTCAATTTTTGTAATGACTTTATCAATAAAATACATCTTTATTTAAGTTTATTTTATATTTCCCACTGTATTCTATGTATCGGACCGAAATGCCCAATCTTTATTGAAATGCCATCTCTTAGTACGAACACTTCAGAGAAGTCTGGGGATTCACAGGTTGCCATTTGGTGGATCGTGACTTGTTCTGGAATCTAGGATACTCACTCCGTCCTAAGTGGGATTTGTCATCTAGGTGTACTTGCATTTTCCAGTGATTTATGGTATTCCCACCGAGTTCTGGTGTTTAAAAAAACGGTGGGTGCTGGATCCGAGTCTCAGTGACAACACCACCATCCACTAAGGATTGTAGATGCATCTAGCTAACGAGTCTCAAGTAGGGTGAAACGCGCACTGCAGATTCCACTTCAAGTTACCATTTACCAAATAAAATACATCTTTGTGAATATTCTTTTACCTAAAGAGATTTTTTGTTAAATACTATGCTTAATTGTTAGTTCGTCTTATGGACAGATTTATTTTCATGTCTTGCTGGAAGAAGTAGATGGAATTTTATGACATTTAACATTGTGTTTAGCTACAAATGATCGGTAATTCGTACTTTACAATATTCCAGCAGATTTGTAGTGGATTATATTAAAAGCTATGAATATATGAAGCATTTCGGGAAAAAAGTCTCATAGATGTCATGTTCCCTTAAATTATAGAGTGGTGAAAGCTGGCTGTTAGTCAAAATCGGTGGACAGTAATATACGTCAATGTTTATGTCCCCAATATTGGTCGTGAGAAAAACGAGAATAAAGACTTTGCGTAGGCGGATACAGTTAACATACAGATGATCTGATATTCAAGAAACAGCCACAAAGAGATGCACTGTTAACTTTCTGTGAGGAACAACCAATCAGAAGACTGTGTTTTTCTGCTAACAATAATCTATAATATGTACATGAGAATTTATTAATATGTGTTGATTTCCTTAATAAACGATCTGTTGCCTGGCTCTTGTCTTCTGTTGTTACAACAGTATTTTAAATCCGGAACTGCATTCTCCTGTATTTCGCTTAATTTGCACACAATATTTAGAGAAAGAATTCAGCATATCATGATATTTCATTTTATAAATGAGAAACTAATTGTTTGAGAACCGCATGAATAGTAGGTAGGAAAAATGTCTACATAAGGACAGAGAAAATTAGGTCATCGATGGCACAACTGTGGAACGCTCGCCAACCACTCTTGCAGTTCAAGGCTCGGTCTCCGGCCGACGCACTCCTTTACCTCTCTAAGCCAGTAATAAGACTGGTAAAGATGGAAGGTTGAGCATGAGTCTAGCAACCCCATTCCGTAAAGATAAATACCATTGCTACCAAAAATTCAAGACTATCTTGAAGCCGTATATTTCTCTGGTAACGTAAAGGAATAAAAAAGAGGCATATTGAAGTTGATAAACAAAATTAGATCAGAAACGAGGGTGACTTAAAGTAGACACCTCAATCGTAGGGTACCTGAAGGGTGATTTCACTCTCAAGAGGATTGTCAGAATGTCACCGCAAACACGGTAAACAGATCCGACCTACGTTCGATTTACAAAGTGTTTTGAACAAGCAAATATATTTTTTAGAGGTAAAACCAATTTACATTGACTTGATAATGAGTTATATATTTTTCTCAAAACACCATCCAAATATATCCCTGTTATATTCAATAGACTTATCTAATGTGTAATTATTTCCTACCATACGACTCAAACTCTGCATTTACTTTCAGTAACTTATAAACAGACAAACATTTTAAGATTTGTGCTGATATTTTATTGTATTAAACTATGAAGTCATTAAGAAAATGTATAAAATTCTGTTCAGCTGTTAAGAATAAAAATGCTTAAATAATACGTAATTGGGAAATATCAAATGCCACCTCGAGTGAGAGCATTTTAACCCTCACGATGACCTTGGGTCATGAAATCAAAGTGGTATTACATAAAATTGTCTTGAAATGCACTAGCAGCATCCTAATCTCATTCTGCACTCTGCGTGACATGTGATTCACCTCTCTCAAATAAAAATTACACTACATAACTCTTCTACATCGACACCATTATTAAAGACAGCGAGTATTAACAATTTCACCTATTTAGACAGTTGCACCATCCCTAATGACTGACTGCTGCTGAAATGTCAGCTCAAATAAAACAAAGGCTCGTGTGACATCTACCAGCTTGAATCATCTCTTGCACCGGTATCATATCCAGTTATTGATCAAAGTATGTGTGTACTGTGCAGCAGTTTGTTCTATCCTCCTTTATAGCTGTGAAATGTAGTCTTTGAAAATGGAAGACATAGAGAGGCTAGCCGTCTATGATCACAGATATTTGCATTGGGTCTTCCGTGTTAAATGGTATAATATGTTAATTGATATTGAGGCTTGGCGTTGAGTGTTGAGAGTAAGGAACCAAAGTCAGTGGATTAGGTTGTCAAAACACATTGATTGAGATAAATGAAACATGTGCCACGCACGCCGAACTACCGAGTTCCTCATCCAGAAAAGTTAGCCAACATAAGATTAGGTAAGAAAAGAGTTAGAGGAGGCCAAACCAAAATATGACGTCGACTGTTGACGTAAGTCACAGGTAGTGGTGCAAACAGCCTGGTTGGGATCACTGATGATGTCGAGAATCGATGATCGAAAACTGTTAGTGATACGAAGCTAAATCGTTCACCATTTATGAGCTCTTAGATCCGTCAAATTCCCCATGTAAGTAATTCTTCTCTAGCATATTTGTGCTTATTACAGATTTTGAATTTCCTTTCATCCTGTTTTTTATAGATTGTCCTTAATTCAACTGTTATAATGTTGTACAAACTTTTGGCGTTAAAAATTCAACTCTGTTTACATTAGTTTATAGATTTACCACTAAGTTGCATTCTGTTTAAAAATTATAAACGAATTGAAAACATAAACGATAATATTATTTTCTTAATTTAGTTAAATTGACTAAACTCCAAACATCGGTACAAGCGTACTAAATAATTACTGGAATAGTTTTTTAAGCTTTATGCAAAGATGTCAGTACAACAGTGAGATACTTAATACCAATAGTGAATGAGTAATGTGTCTTAATAGTGAATTTTATATGAAATGTAAATAAATATTGAATAAAATACATCTCAAAAAAATAGAAAGAGTTATTTACGACTGATTCCAAAACGTAAGTTTTTTACGGTTTACCACTACTGTTTGCAAAAGGTGTGGTAAAATGATGAAGCATTTCTCATTATATTTTGTCAGACTTGTATAACTTCATACTTACTAGATAGTTAGAGGCAATCGGCAGGAAGATTTGGACCTAGGTTTCGTGCTAGTTGTCATTCATTAGTCAGCAAGGCCTATCTGCAGCCTTGAAGGAACTCGCGTCCCTTCTTAGATTCGAACCAGCGTCACTCAGTGGTGCAGTCAGTGACGCTACCACCGAGCTATTCAGGCTCGCAATTTACTTCCTAAAGGACTGTGTTGGATACTTCTGATTAGAAACTAGTTACTAAATAGTGTAGACGAAGATATTTGCCAGTGAGAATAATTAGAAGAATATATGTAAGTATTTTCTGACTTAGAATAAAATCAAGGAGTGAACTTATCTAACTTATTATAGAAGATTCTGGGTATTGTGATCAACACTCCTCAACCTGTGATTGTTAACATCTCGAGGATTTTGAGGAAAAACTTCTCTACCTTCCTACGTGAGTCAAGTTGATAGTCGAAGATTGCATAAAATCGTCTTATGACTTTGCTTAACTGTCGACAACTTCTCCTCAAACTAATTCTATTTCAGCCAACACTCCAAATCGGAGGAGCATGTGGTTAAGCTTGCGTAAGGTACGTTCCAGCCATATTTATCGATGAGGCTTCGTGACGTCATTAGTTGACTTATATTCCTTGCTCAGCAGTCTACCCTTAATCTCAATGTTACTCGCCAAGTTTTACAAACCATGAGTAAAACTGAAACGCAAATACTTATAAATTCTTTACTTATTTCTTCAGAAACGACCATTTAACAGCCACAAAGTAAAAGGCTGTAGTCTGTTTCACAGTACGCATGTCTTTTGATGGGTAGCCATATAGCCCGTCAGAATGAAAGACAGAATAGACTGTCAATTACTGAATAAACCTTTTGTAACCATGCTGGTATTTTATCACCAATTAGTTGATTAGGGACAATACAAATAATTTAAGTGGTCAACACGACCAACCATTTCATTTTCTGTTCTAAAACCTGTTATTAGTTCATGGTAATCTCACAAAGCCTGATATTTGACATAGATTAAACGCATGGTCAGATAGTTTAGATGACTAAGTTTTGTTAGCGCGATCATATAAACAGGTTATATCAAATGCATACTGCAGATCAACAAAAATCTCAATTAGTGACAAATAATTATTCAAGTTACTGACGTCAAAGTGGATCAAATCGATTAATGCACCTACACGTACATTGCTACATGTTGTCAATTTACAGAGTAAGTGTCTGAAATCGCTTAAACAGTTTCATCAATATGAGTTTTGTGTAGTGATTTGTATAACATGACTTCTGTGGACTCCGGTTACAACCATACAGTAACATAGCATCTCTCAACTGAATGATCCAAATACTGCCAAGCAATGTGATTACTTTTTCGCACCGGCAGGTATGCCCGTCCTGCAGAAAGTGTCAAATGGTAGAAATACGATCAATACAACCTATTCTGAGCTTGAATCCTGCTTCGTAAATTTTGGTTTGCTTTTTTGAGTCAGATGTAGTCTTCTTAGGACAATAAAACTTAAAATCTTTGATACTGTGTTAGTATTACTGATCTTGTATTATCACTGAAAGATTTGTTTCCCATTGTATAAACCAGAATAATCAAGAATCCATTTCAATCGGTCGTAACTGCCTCAGAAACGTATATACCAGCTACTAGCTTTGTTAATCCAATCGCAGTTCTTCACGATTATCCTCAAATGCCTCTTTAGTCACATAATAATATTCTCCTATTTTGTGTCTTCATAGATTAGAGAAGACTAATGCCTACACAGAATTCAGACAGGAGCTGGATAGTAGGTGACAGCAGTGTACTGTAGGCTTCCATAAATGTTGTACTGAACTTTCCTGCGATCTGTAAAAAACTATTATAGAAACTTCATTTAGTGATTTAATTTTCAGTAACATTTTGTAACCAGTATCCTTAATTAGCCCAAAAAGCTGACTGACATAATTTCATCGACCTGGATTTTACCCATTTTAACCGATAGCCATGCTAGGAAATGCAATTTACCCATCTAGATTTCTCATTATATGGCGGAATTTTTATAGAAATGCCAGATGTTTCTTATCACGTATCAACGGTGTTCGGTTTTTATCAAGACTGAAGTGTGCATATCTTCACTAATATTAACCTACTACATTATTTTTCAAAATACAACGCAGAAATACTTGAACTTCTCAAGGTGTCTCGCTGCTCTCATATAAGATATTTTGTTCGATTCATCTGTGTTTATATTTCTGATTACAGCTTGATTCCACACCGTATTTTTGGTACAGGTATGGAGTTTTGAGCATGTGATATCGGTAGCCAATAGACATCAGGTGTGCGTCAGCAGGGGATCGAACCCCGGATTATATGCCTGGTCGACGGGAGTCCTAACCACTGTGCCACGGACGCACATTATGTTAATAGGGCAACATAAAGTGTGCATAAAAAGCCTGGAAGTTTGCGTTTCGTCTCGTTTACATCGAAAGTCAAGACTCTTTTACTAGAAGATATCAACTCGGTGACGACATTGCAAAAGTTTTCCTGTAAGAGAAAGAAGTACCGTTAAACACTGTAACGCAGTCACCGCGAATGCATGAGCTAAGAAGTGATAACAGAAAAGATCGCCATTTGACCATTAAACGCGCAGTAAATCAGTGCATATCCTGTCTAAAAGCACCTCTAGTGAACACAATGATAAGATTAACATGCAGTGATAAACGATTTTAGTTGTATCATTTTCATCCACTTGAGGCAAACAACAGGAGAATATAATGTCTCGCTGCATCTTTACTGGTCAGTTAAATTCACTTTTGTTGTGTAAACAAAAATCTCCACATCGCCGCATCTGTTATAATCTACTTCACTACTTGTATTCTCCCTACACTTCCAGTAATATATTTTACAGTGAAAAATCCTTCGTTCTTTCGTCTTTCTAAGAAGTCTTTTCCAGTTTCTTAGTATTTCAAAAATATGATACTGTATTAAAACTTGAGAAAAAATAAGCAGTTCCTAGTACATTAGATGTGTCAATTTCGTTATTGCTGTTTGCTTTTTATGATTTACACATAAAGACCTATATAGGCATTATAGTATCGTTCGTAATTCTCCCATTCTTTCTTTTTAGCCATAACCTCCATTACGTATTCATTACGACCTACGTACATTTTAGTTCGATCCAAAAAAGTGACTCAGATTAGCAGATGAAGCATAATTTTACCTCAAGATGTTCGACTTCTTCCATCAAGATTTTATTTCAACTACCGCTCAATAAATTTTCTGGTGATATCACGCTTAATCAAAGTGCAATAAAACAAATTCAGGAACCGACTTGAAGTGCGAACGTACTCAGAATCAAAAATATTCCTTTTTAAGGCAATTTGGGCCATACAATAATACAAAATAATTACATTTAGCCCATGGAGTGGCTTAAAATGTTTTGTCGTAGTAATACCACACTGATAAGTCCCTAGGGAATTGACTTCCTTAAGAGCACTCTTCAGAGACGTTCTCTCTTCAGTTTTTCGACTCCAAAAGTTGACCTTCGGTGAAGTGAAAATTTTCGCCTGCCACGGTGGTTGCCTCCCAAACTTAATGAAATATTTATTTTCCCATATAATTAAATGTATCACCTCTCTATCTTAACTTCATCGACTTTGAAAAGGCCTTCAACAGCGTCGATCGAGAGGTGATTTGGCAACTAATTCGCTACTGCGGGGTGCCATCGACAGTCATACATCTCATCCAACAGTTATACGACAATGCTGCATGCCAAGTAATCCACAACGGGAAACTTACGGAATACTTCGAAGTGAGGACGGGAGTGCAACAAGGCTGCCTACTATCACCAATGATCTTCTGATTGCAGTAGATTGGATAATGCGACAGACAACAGGCGATGAGAAAACAGGCATAAAATGGACTCACACAAGGAACTTGAAGGATCTGGACTTCGCCCGTCGATGATATATGTCTGATTTCTCACAAATTGGAAGATATGCAAGCGAAAAGCAACAAGCTGGCAGAAGAAGCATCAAGGATATGACTACAGGTGAACATAGATAAAACAGAGGTGATGAAGATTCCTGGCCAACACCAATAACAGAAACAACAACAGACAACAATAAGCATAAATGGGAGGAACCTGAAAGAAACAACCTCCTTTATCTACCTACCTACCTACCTACTTGGGAAGCATCGTTTCAACCACAGACGGACGGAACTGACGAGGATATCAAAGCCAGAATCGGGAAATCAAGACAAGCTTTCATTACTCTCAAGTCTGTGTGGAGGAGATCAACAGCACTCACCATCAAAAATAGCATCCGGATTTTCAACTCCAATGTGAAGTCAGTCAGTCCTACTCACTATGCGGATCAGAGACTTGGCCAGCGCGTCATAAAGAGCATCTCGAACAAACCACAGACCTTCATTAACAGTTGTTTTCGCTCAATACCACTCAAGATCAGATGGCCCGCCAGAAAAGATCACCAACAGTGGGGGATCTCTGGCAATGACCAACCAGGAACCGATTACGCAACAAATAAGCAGGAAGAAATGGAGATGGATTGGCCATGCTCTGAGGAAACCATCAAGTGACATCACTAGACAAGCCATTGCTCGAGTGGAACCCGAAAGGGAAGCGGCGAGTTGGTCGTCAGTGTGAGGGTGACTTTGAGGAGGTCATGTGAAGAGGAGATGAAAGCATGTGGGCAGACCTGGAGTGGTGTGAAAAAGTCGACAGAAAACCGAACGCAATGGAGACGCGCAGCCGAAGCCCTATGCTCTTCTGGTAATTAAAGGATATAATAATAAAATAATAATTAAATGTGACGTATTGACTCCGCTTCGTCTTGTTTTAGGCATCCAATTATGTCCAAGGGTCACGATCTATGCTAACGCTACTTTTCAAATACGTTTCCACTCATTGCCAATAGCTTTTAAAATGAAATCTAAGAAGGTAATCGTGGAGTATCCAAACATGCTTTGGATGGAACAACATTGCTTCAAGTGATATAATGTCGGTTGTTATTTTATTTGAAGATTCTGCGAAGGAGGTAAACAATTTACAACTAGACATTCTGGAAATTCTGTACTCCATTAAGGTTCATTTTTGGAGTGAATTTGTAGTTACATCATTATCATTACAGTTTATGGTTTGCAGATTTCTATGAAAACAAATAAAAATGGAGGTCTTTTGATTGATCGAACTCATTAAGTTTATTGACTCACTCATTGCCGACTGACAGAAAGCAACTGCTATTCTCCCTTCACCTAACTGTGCTTGTTTAGAACGTTTACATTAACCCAGAACTCAACTATAAAAACCCAGGGTTCGTAAACTTAGTGGATCACAGCCTCAATACTGAATATTTTCCTTTTCCAAACGTTACAGACCGGACTTTTGATATCTCTGTGGCTTTTCGTACCAGAATGTGGCTGATTTGTGTGCTTATAGTAAATGGGTGAGAATTTCCAATAGGCTTGGCCACCTAGTCACAACCTGTCGCATTTACTCTCCACTTCATTTGAAGACTTAGGTTACGAATTTACCTAAGACTATATCGTGGTACCGATTAAGGTGAACAGTAGGAGGGGCTTTTTCAGTAGTGTATGTAACGCATACCTAGTTAGGAGGGAACTCGTACATATCACATTTTTTACCCTTGTTACTATTTGAATGCTATTATCTTTGGTGTAAATTACTCTGTTTCTACACTTGGTTGATGAGATATGCCGTGTGTTTTTTGGTCATCTATATTCTACGATACAATGACATGGGCGTGTTGCCGTTCAGATTTGAGGATTCTGCTCATAGAAGGAAGTTAGCAAATGAACTCTGCGATGATTTTCCTACCTAGGGCGTCAACCTGAGAAGGGTTGTAGGCGTACTGCTGTAAGTCCTACAATTCTTCAAAGGGTAGCGCATCAATGAGCAGTCCAGTGTGCTTGGTGTGTGATTTTGTACATATGTTCATATTGCATATACTGAATTGATATCATCTTTCATCTATCTGTTGGTAATTCTGTTTGTGTCCGGACGACTTCCACTTGGATCATCAACCTGAGAAGGAATGTAGGCGTACTGCTGTAAGTCCTACAGTTCTTCAAGGGTAGTTTGCCGTGCCAGAATACACAACATTTGATGTGTTGATTGTACATATGTTTGTGTTAAATAATTGTGTGAGTTCCAATTGATGTAATTGTTGGTTAATCTTGTTTGTGTCCGGATATTCCACAACTTACAATGGTCAACCTGTGAAGGTTTGTAGGCGTACTGGTGTAAGTCCTGCAATTCTTCAAAGGAATCGCATCGAGACATGATCGGCGAGGTTATGTGTACTGTTTGTATATATGTGTGGTGTGTCATATCAATTGGTGTTTTTGGATTCATTGTGTTCACTAGTTGTTTTCGTACCTTGTTGTTATTGCGTAATTTGGTTAAAATTTTCGTCGTGATTACTTCTGAAGTTGTTTCTAGTCTTCTACATCCGTGAATGAATTGATTGATGTTAAAGACAGCAGATGGGTCGTATACGCCGGGGAGGCTAGGCTATTGCTGAGAATGAAATGAATACGGAGATAATTGTTAGCTGCGGTCCGACATGCCGGGGAGAAAGAGTGTAAACGACTGAGGCTCGCATGCGTCACCGCTACTAGAACTGAGGCAGAATGAGTGACAAGCGATTGAAGTGGTAATTGGTAGTGAGTAGATAAGACGATGTGCGTGGAGTATCATGAGTTGGTGCTATGGTCACTTTGCATTCTGCAAGAGTCATTCTAGTAAGTGGCGATTGTGTTGCAAGATGTCAAGAGGAGGTCTCTGTCTGGAGGCGCAGGTCGTCAGCGATGTGTGAGATTGTGCTGTGGGTATGCTTGTGGTGTGTTGGCTTTTCTGTTTGTTTTCCATTTCAGCTCTGTCCGTGTGACCCGGGTTCTCGCAATGGCATCCAAGTCAACGTGCATTGATCGTGAAGGAAAAAAGGGTTGGATCCCTTTTTTGCCGGGGAGTGTCAATGGAGTTGAAGATTGAACGATCAATTCTTGGTTGTTTGCTCAAAATCAACTTCCCCGATTTTCGCGGAGGCATCAATACGACAGTCATCGTCTCATCGGTCGCTGTTCAGAAAGAAGAGTAAAATATCGTCAGAAGTAATATAACGATTTATTATTGTAATATTTGTTCATAGATCTTAGTTCGCTTATTCCTTTTATATGTTGGTGTAACAATAAACAAATCTAAAGCGGCAGATCAGTGTTTTGGTTTTTGCGTCCGTTATAACTAAGCGTTTCTGAGAAATCTTCGAAGAACAGCGTGGGCCCGAGCGTAGCGAGAGCTGGGCATTAACGGTTTATGAGACGCGATTGACATAGGGCTTCAACTGCACATCTACACTTGCTTCTGTCTTCTGCTCTACTTTTCACCCACATCCATGTTAGTTCATACTCTTTCAACTCCTCTTCACACGATCTCCTTTATGTCACCCTTGAACTGACGTCCCACTCGCTGCTTACCTTTCGGCCTGGTTCCACTCGACCAATGGCCTGATGCGCGCGCGATGTCACGCAGCGCCTCCTCAGCTGGTGTTCAATCCATCTCCACTTTCTCCTGCATATTTTTTGGGCTATTGGTTCTTGTTTTGTTTGTTCCCATAGTTCCTTGTTGGTGATTCTTTCCGACCATCTGATCTTCAGTATAGAGCGAAGACAGTTAGTTGTTCATAAAGGTCTGCAATAGACAGCCTGTTGAAAATATTCTTTGTGACCCGCCCACCGCCAAGTTTCTGATCCGATCCGTATAGAAGAACTGACTGACTTGACGTTTGTATTGAAAATCCGATCGAATTTTGTTGTTGATGCTTGCTGAGTGACGAGGATTTCCAGATTGGTTTCAGGTTGATGAATGTATTTCTCGCCTTCCCAATTATCTATTTGACATCCTCGTCCATTCCGACTTCCTGTAGTTGAGACAATGCTTTCTAGACAAGTGAATGAATGAAGTAACCTCTTCCAAATCCCTCCCGTTGATGGTGATTGGAACTGGATGTTGCTGTTGTTGTTGGTTATTTTCATAACCTCCGTCTTGTCTGTGTTCACATGGATTCCTGTCTTCACCGGTTGCTTCTTCGACCAGGTTGTCGGCGTTCGCTTGTAAGTCTTCGATTTTGTGTGACATCAAACATAAATCATCCAAAAGCGAAATCCAGGTCTTGTAGGTTCTTAACGATGGTCGATCCAGGATAT